TAATTTCCCTTTTTTTCTCATATCTTTAGGGCTTTTGTGTTCTACTGAAGAGTATATCTCATAAATCTGCCAACTCGGTGTTCCATTATTTGTTTTTGACCCTTGAAACTTTCCCAGCAGAACCTGCCTCTCTTTAATCATGATCTACATGCTGGTAGTTTTACAACATAAAGAAGACACATAATGTTTGCCTTAAAGGATCCAGAAAGGACTGTCATCTTGTTCGTTCCCTTCTGAAAATCTTCCCTGGTTCCATGCTATAACCAAAGGGTTCCCAGAACTGCATCTGCCTTCTGTCTTCACATCTGAATTAAAAGCACCTGACAGTTACAACTTCGTCCATCCCTTGACGTCGCTTTCTTTCATATTTGCAATTTGCAGGCCAAATCAAAAAACAAAAACAGTCTACTCTTTCTCCTACCACAGGAAGTGGGAATAGCAACATATTAACAGACAACCAAGTTTGAGTCCACAGTGGCCACCAAATGTGCAACATATAAAATCGTTACCTGTAGCAAAGGTTAATCACCGATGTGATGGCCGTGTGCCTCTCTGCAGCCTGCTGTTCCATTCTTCCTAACGTCCACTAAAAGTATCCAGGGGCACCCACTCCTGACCACTCTCAGTCACTCATCACCACGTACCCCCCCATAAAATAACCCCAGTGCCTTCCTTCTGAATCAAAGCTGAATCCTATGAAGTCTGAGCATCTACCGTCCTCCCTCCAGGAGACACTAGAATTGAACCCACCTTATTCCACATCACTCATCCCCCCAAACATGGGTACTTGGTGTCATATCTTCTCTAGCCTTTTTTCATCCCCATATTGCTATGCCATGCTCAACACATGCCTCAGTATCCTGTATCTCTTTGTAGACTGTTCCGTACACCTCATGGCTAGGTTGGGAGAAGCAGGGGTCATGTGTTAGGGATGGGGCACACAGAGTACAAAGGCTCTAGTAACATTTTATACCTTAGGCTGTAATGTATGTACATGAGTGTTCATTTTATTATTCCTTTAATTTGTATATATTCATGGTAGATATTCGTTTACATGTATGATCTACTTCATAATTTAAAAAATTAAAAAAAAATACCTCTGTTCTCTTGAGGCATGTACCATCTAGCCAGGATACTCTCTATCCCATTTCATCAACCACTGTCAGTTACTGAAGTCCTGGATATTCTCCCTGGTTTATTCCTCCCCAACAAGGGCCTGCTATCAGTCTGGTTGATTTTCATACCCAGGAGGTGACCTGTCCAACAGACTGGACTCTGAGTTCCTGAAACTCCTCTGTTCAAAAACATTGTCCTTCCCCCCCTCAGCCACCTTGAACTTTTCAAATCAGTAATTCAGAAAACCCACCCTCTAATGCAAACACTATCCTTCCAGCTGTTCAGCTGTCCCCTTTCCACCTGTACTTCTGCCTGCCTACTGTACCGTCATCCCTTCAAGCCTCTTCTTTTTTTTTTGGCCGTGCCGTGTGACATGCAGGGTCTTAGCTCTCTCACCAGGGATTGAACTCACAGCCTGGGCAGTGAAAGCATGAAGTCCTAACTACTGGACGACCAGGGAATTCCCTCAAGCTTCTTCTTTATGCCTTTCCCTCACTCCCCTCCTGCATGCACTTCATTGTTATTCAATTTAGATTTTATAGTCCATCTCTCCACTCTTTTGACTTTGTTCAATTTTTTTTTTATCCATTTGTTCTTTCATTGCACCTACCTGGAAAAACCATACCTGAATAAGCCCAACCATTCACTTTCCTGTACTGCTCTTGGGCAGCTAAACATTGCTAGAGAAAATCATAAAGCTGGGCTGAGTAGGGCCAGTTTTCAGTCACTCATCTCCTAATCTCACCACTGACAAACAACCTTAGGACACATCTCTTATCAGTCCCTTCTCTCACTCATCACAGTAACTTTTCAAGTCCCTCCCTTCTTAAGCCTCTGACTAGCCCAGCTCGCCTTTCATTCTCAGCCAATGACTCACCTCCTTCAGAAAATAAATTTAAACAATCATACATAAATGATCTCATCTTCCAGCCCACAAGTCTAGAAATATACGTGTATATATGAAACCGAGCAGATCCCTGCAGGGCCTTCATGATTGCAGACCCTTCCATGTTCCCCCACTCCCACCTTTAGAAAAAAAAAAACAACCTTATTTTCCCTGGCCTGTTTCAGAAAACAGATTCAAGCAATTAATCATTTAAGGAGGGGCAAAAGCGGGAACTAAGAAAAGGCAGTCAAGCAAGGAAGGTGATAACAACTTAAGCAATAAGTAAAATTGAAGGATTGGGTCATAAAGTCCTAGTTCTCCTTGAGAAAAACAGATAACAGTGTCTGACACACATTCTTAAGTTATTTCTTACGGAAACCAGACCCCCGACCAGGTGGAAACTGCTGACGCTGAACACATAGACCATAGACTGGTTGGAGCTGGAAAATTGATGATCAAGATTACTGAAACACCACCCTGTCACCTTACCGTCTACCAATCCGAAAAGTGTCCATGAGCTGATCACACACCCTGGGACCCTCACCCCAACACTGCCTTTAAATACATTTCTCTGAAAACCATCGGGGAGTTTGGGTCTTTGAGTATTAGCTGCCCATTCTCCTTGTTGGGTGCCCTGCAGTAAACACTGAGCTTTCCTTCACCACAACCCAGTAGGTTGGCTTTGCTGCGTATCTAGGTGGGTGGATCCAAGTTCTGTTCAGGAACATACACAATCATCCTACAACACGTTCTTCCTTTTATAAGGAAGAGTTGTTCTTTCTGCCATGTTTGGAATCCCATTGCCTCTCATTTTCTTGGAGCCATCGTCATTTACGCCTCCTCTCTCATATTTGCCACCTCTCCCTCTCCACCAGCTCCTTATCAACATTTAAATAACTCAACTAACTTTCACCCTTAAAAATCCTCTCATAACCCTATCCCCACTTCTGGTTATCACTCTGTTTCTCTCCTCTGCTTCTGGTAAAAGAAGCATAATTTCTGGTTGTTTTCAGTCACTGAGTGGATTTCTAGAACCAGCCTATTTTTCAGGTTTTGGTCTACTATAAAATGAGGAGAATCACGAATACTGTCCCATTCAATTTTACTAATCCCTTCTATTAATGTCTGGTTCGTTGAGTACCCAGAATGCATTTCTTCTTTCACCTGGGATGAACAGTAGAACCGGCAAGGCTAAGTCAAGGGAGTGTTACACCAGGCAATTCCTGTCCTGTCCCAGGAGGTCTGGAGGCAGCCTTTCCGTGATCACTCACAAAATCTCTTTCACGTCAGGAAAAGTCCATTCTCCTTGTAGGCCCTGCAGTGGGGGATGCAACTCCCAGTGTAGAGGTGTGATCAGCTGGGACATGGTAAATCACTAGAGGGCCATTCAAGTTAACCTGAAGAGTGGCAACAGCCCAGCTTTTATTAAAATTTTTTTGTAGCACAACACCGTAAATCAACTATACTCCAATAAAATTAAAAAAAAAATTTTGGCGGCCGACCACCATGATTGATTGAATTTATCATTTCATATATTGTATTTGGTCAGTTTTAAACTGTAAATAGAGTTACTTCTGGGGAAAATTTGTAGGGCTACTTTCTCTCGCTGTCTTCTTTTGCTATTTGATGGTTTTCTTGTAATGATTTGCTTTCAAGTTTTTTCTCTTATCTTTTTTGTATCTACTATAGTTTTTCTTTGTGGTTAGCTCAAGGCATGCATAAAATATCTTGTAGTTGTAGCCATCTATTTTAGGTTGATAACACCTTAACTTCAATTGCATACAAGAACTCTGTACTTTTACTCTCCTGTCCCCACACTTTCTATATTGTGTGCCCAATAACAAATTTTTATCATTTAACTTTTATATTAAGCTTAAACATAACTTAGGTACCACCATTACAATATTACTTTACTCTGCATTTTTTAATATATTTACCTTTGCCATGAGATTTATGCTCTCACATGCTTTTGCATTGCTGTTTAGTATGTTTTCATTTCAATTTGAAGAACTCCTTAAGCATTTCTGTAAGGCAGGTCTAGTGGTGATGAGCTATCTTAGTTTTTGCTTATCTGGGAAAGACTCTATCTCTCCTCCATTTTTAGAGGATAATTTTGCCAGTATAATATTTTTGGTTGGCAGGGTTTTTTCTTTCAGGTACTTTGAATATATCATTGCACTGTTTCCTTGCCTACAAGATTTGGGCTGAGAAATCCACTGATAGTCTTATAGGGGTTCCATTTCATGTGATGAGTCACTTTTCTCTTGCTGCTTTCAAAATCCTAGAGCTTAGTCAACAGCTTTCCCATCCACCCAGCTGAGTGTATAACGGGTCACTCTTGACTCCTCCCTCTCTCTAATGCCCCAAGTCCAGTGAAATGTCTTCTTATCATTTTACCTTTTAGATGTCTCTTGAACCCACTTCCACTGCCACGGCCCTCATCTGGCCCCCTTCACTTCTCACCTAAACCACAGAAGCAGCCTCTTAATTTGCTCCATGACCCCACTCCTGCCTCTCTCTAGGTCATTTCTTCCATGGCAGCCTAAGTGCTCTTTACAAAATTTATCTGATCATGTCCCTTTCTTGACTCTTAGGGTAAAGTTCCAAATTCGTAATGGCTCACAGGAAACCCCCTGGCCTACACTTGCCTACTCCTCTGGCATCCTTTACTGCACTGGACTAGCTTTCTTCACTTCAGCCATACTATATCTCTCTCAGTTCCTCAAATATCCATGCCCCCTCCCACTTCTGGGCCTCTGCACAAGCTCTGTCCCAGCCTCACATGCTCTCCCTCACTTTCCATTCAGCTAACTCCTGTTCATCCTCCAAGGCTCGGCTCAAAGGATACTTTCTCAGGGACGCGTCCTTGACTTTCCAGAATAGGTTAGGTTAATCTGCCATGTGCTCCCACAGCACTCTGCACTGTTTTTCATTGTTGAGTTTAGTTATTCATAATTATTTATTTAATATTTGTCTTCCCCACCAGTAGACATGTGTTCCATGAAGACATTAATGTATCCATGTCATTCATGGCTGTATGCCCAGTGCCCTTCCAATGCCCCGTCAAGTCCCAATAATAGTTGCTGACTGGGTGAGTGAAACACAGATCTTCCTAGTTAAGGATTCAGTTTCAATGTGAAGGATTCAGTTTCAATATGCAACTATAACCTAAAAGCTAATAATCTATCATATTTGTGCTTGCCTTAAACACTTTGACCTTTATTTTCCATCTTACAAAGCGTTTTTGGTATACACAATACTGCCCTCTTCCTCTTTTCCCTCTTCTCAGTGATGTGTCACCAGTGATTTTTTTTTTTATTGGGTGAGGCGCAGGTAATCTCCTTGTTTATAACTCTGACCTTTCTGTGAGCAAACACGCAAAGTGAACTTTGGTTTATCTCCTACTGTAATGTAGCTGCTAATTGCCGACAGGGAGGCTGTATTCTGTGGTCCACGTGACCGGTGGGGTGACCAGAAAGGAGCGTGGGGAAGAGTAGACCACGGGACTCAGTGACAGGCTGTTCAGTTGGAGTTCCTGCTTCCCTGAAAGGCCCAGAGTAAAGCAAGGAGTATGGTGCTGAGGTGAGGGAGGTCATGAAGACGCCACTGTTGGCCTTGGCTTTGTGGTCACTGCTCCTCCGACCAGGGCTTTTGTTCTGGGACTCCCAAGTGAGTCAGAACTGCCACAATGGCAGCTACGAGATCAGTGTGCTGATGACAAACAACTCGGCCTTCCCAGAGTCCCAGGTTAACTTGAGAGATGTGGTGAACGCGGGAATGGAAATAGTGAGACAGCGTCTGCTTGAAGCTGGTAAGAAGATGGTAACAGAATTCTCCTCCCTGTTACCACCTCTGGGGTCAGAGGGTTGCTAAGCCAAGACCTGTGTTCTTTGCCTGATCACCCAACCTTCTTTAAGGGCCTGGCCCACAGGCCTTTTCTATTTCGAGGCAATAGATCCTCAAAGAGAAGGATTTGAGCCCTACCTCAATGAGTTCACTCATGATCTACTCTGCTTTGGGGATGGCCCCGACCCAGGTGCTCACAGCAGTGAAATGTCCCAGCTAAAGCTGGGTTAACTTAACTGGACTTAAGTAGATAAAACTACTCAGCACCAGGAAGGCACTGTGTTTCCTTCTGTAGCTTCTCAGGCAAGATTTGGTCTGTGTCTGAGATTTCACAGGGTTACCAGTCAAGAAGATGAATTAAGTAAAGATCCAGGTGCTGAATCTTTCACTGGGATTCTTAATCCATCTATCCACTCTTTACATCTCTGGTGGCTGTTATTATAAGATACAGTCAATATGATAAATTTGCAATCAAATTCAGTGTTGAAGTTCTTTATTGTATCTCTTTTTTGGGGGGATATAAGAAAATTATTTTATTTTATTTTACTTTTTAAAATGTTTTATTGAAGTATAGTTGATTTACAATGTTGTGTTAATTTCTGGTGTACAGCAAAGTCATTCAGTTGTGTGTGTGTGTGTGTGTGTGTTCTTTTCCATTATGGTTTATCACAGGATCAATATAGTTCCCTGTGCTCTACAATAGGACCTTGTTGTTTATCCATACTATATATGCTAGTTTGCATGTATCTCTTAATTATTAAAGTAAGCTATACCAGTAGATAAAAGATGTAGAATAAAGGGAAAAAAGTCACCCCTGATAATTTCCAGCCACCTGGATATTTCCAGTATCTTTTCATGTGCCTCTGAGTTTCTTGTTTTTAAGAAGATAGTTGAGGCCACTATGGCACAGAAACAATTTTCTGTCCTTCTTATTTCATTTCACATGATTCTACAGGTGGCTTTCCTAGAACTGCATAATCTTCTTAGCATCATGTGAATGAATGACCAATACCCCTTAGAGTAGATATCCTCCCAAATCATGTAATCATTCCCTATGGTAGGACATTCCATTGTTTTTAATTTCTCACGATTATTTAAAAACTACTACAATAAACATTTTTATGTACATAGTTTTTTTCCATGCTTTGAGGTGAGATTGCCATAAGTATAATTACTGAGTCAATGAGTATTTCATACATCTTAATGGTTATTTATGGCTCTAAGGAGAGGATGTCTTAATTTTCTCTATTTAAAATTTGTGGTAATAATAGCAATAGGTATCATAGATCATATATCACATATGTGTAATAACTGTCTTCTGTGCAATATACATTTCTTCAGTCCTTTCTGAGACTGGATTCAGATATAAATGGATGGATCTGATCTAGTGCTATAATGGAACTAGGAGGTCATTTAATAAAATCCCCTTATTTACCTGGGCAGTGTGGTATAGTGGAAAGAACATTTGATTCGAAGTCTGAGGACCTGAATTGGAGTCCCTGCCAATCTCATGTGAGCTATTTCCCTTGGTCTCCCTGAACTTGGTGTTCTTGTTTTTTGAGTACCTGTCAAGTGCTAAGTAAGATATATAATCTCTTTACTCGCCACAGCTCTGTACGATCAACACTGCTGACACTGTTTCACAGCAGAGGTTTAATAACTTTGCTGCAGTCATACAAGTTGTCTGTTTGAAATGAGAGTCAAACCCCTATCTGTCAGATTCCACAGAGTGTATCATGTCGCCACTGTAAGATCTTTACCCACCCATTGCTCGTGAAAATAAGGTAGTGGAACACTGTGGTTAGAAGCAGAGATTTGGAATCGGACAGACCTTGGTTCATATTCCAGCCTTTTATCCAACCATTTATCACCAGTGACCTCCCGCAAGTTACTTACATTTTCTGAGCCTCAGTTCCCTCACTTGTAAAATCACGATCAATAGTAGTTTCCTTCTGTGGGTGTGGTGTGAATTAAATGAGGAGATTCACATAAAGTACCTAATTCACTGACTAATACATAGCAAGAGCTCAATAAATGGCTGTTGTTTTATTGTTGCTGCTCTTACTGTTGTGCTTGGGAAGGACGTTGATATTGTGTTTGTTGCTGTGGTGTCGGAACACGTTACCAGGCATATCTCAAAAGTGAAGCCTGATTTGAAGTCATCCCATCCCATCGTCTAAAACGTGTTCAGTATTTTCTTGAGAAGTCACTTGGGATCTGGGGAGATAAAAGTAAGCAGAAACGCATCACATCACCATAATCATGAGAGGTAGCGGCTTACTACAATACGTTCTACAGAAGTGGTTCTCAGACTTCCCATCTCAAGGCCTTTTTACACGCTTAAAGATAATCGTGGGTTCTAAAGAGTTTCGTTTATGTTACATTTATCAATGTTTATTATACGGGAAATTAAAACTGAAAAATGTTCAAACTATTTTCTTATTGATGCAGTTAAAATAACAATTGTAAGAATTTGTTAACATAAATAAAATTTCATATTAAAGAAAACATATTTCTCAAACCAAAAACTCATAGAAGTAGGTGGGAAAAGTGGCAGAAATTCACATTTTAGCAAATCTCTAATATCAGTCTTAATAGAAAATGGTTGGATTCTCATATCTGCTTCTGCAATTAAAATGTTGCCATACTACATATTATGTAGCCTCTGGAAAACTTCACTATATGCCCGTGAATGTCTTAAAATAATAGAATAGTTTCGACCTCATGGACCTCCTGAAAGAGTCTCAAGGTGCCTCAGGGGTCTATGGCACACCCTTTGAGAACCACTGTTCTATAGCATATTGGTTCCAGAATCAGACTGCCCTATGTTCAAAACCCAGCTCCACTACCTGCCAGCTGGTAACCCTGAGCGAGTTAACTTACCTCTCTAGATCTCCTCTTTCTAGAGAGGTAGAAAAATAAAGTCTCATGGCTGGTATAAACTTCCTGAGAAATAACACTAGCCTTCTCTTTCCCCTCATTTCTGGATAATAGGCCTAAATGTGACCGTGAATGCCAGCTTTATCAATTCGGAAAGTATGATTTATAAGTCCAGTGACTGCCGGAGTAGCACCTGTGAAGGCCTCGACCTACTCAGGACGATTTCAGTGAGTACCTGCCTTCGCAGAGTCAGCTCACACCCTCCTGCCTCAGGAGGGCCACAGCGTGAGCTCTGGCGCTGGCCCGCCAGGATCTCTCACATCGTCTCCAGCTATGCAGCTGAGTGATTTGGGGACCAGGTGCTCCGACTGTATCCCCATCTATTTCCCAAGTGATAGGCACCCTCCAGGAATCTAGGAAAGCGGGGAGAACCTTAGCTATGTTCTGTCTGTACACGTTCAGTGGTATGGAGGGGAATTATTTTGTTTTCAGCTGTTTTTAGAACTTTTAACAAATCTAAATGTTGGTATTAACTGGTTTGCCTTCGTGTCCCTCAAGAAAAATCTGAGGTGCCCCATTAAAAAATATACTCTAAAACCTTACACCAGACACCTGTTACAAGTCATCACCGTATACACGGTCGCAGGTTTAGTGCTTAAGGGCTGAATCTGAAACCTAACTTTAAAGTAGTAACTGTAATGTCAATCTGTAGAAATGGGAAGACAGAGATTCTTGCCTAGTTCCTCCTGCCAACTCCATCCCCAACCAGAGCTTTCTGGAACTGAAGAGTAGTCCAAGCTCTCTAGAGGCAGGTAGGGTGTGAGATGTCCCTTTGGTACAGAGACCTAAGGGAAGGCCATCCAGGAAGCTGAGCACTGGGCACAGATCCATGGCTCTGAAGCTCTGATCAGTAACATCACATCGACCAGATTGGCCGCACTCCTGTCAGGAAGTGGTCATTCTTTTTTTTTTTTTTTTTTTTGCGGTACGCGGGCCTCTCACTGTTGTGGCCTCTCCCGTTGCGGAGCACAGGCTCCGGATGCGCAGGCTCAGCGGCCATGGCTCACGGGCCCAGCCGTTCCGCGGCATGTGGTATCTTCCCGGACCGGGGCACGAACCCGCGTCCCCTGCATCGGCAGGCGGACTCTCAACCACTGCACCACCAGGGGAGCCCAGGAAGTGGTCATTCTTGATCATGGGAGGGCAAGGAGCGAGCAAGGGGAGTTTAATAAACAGGTGTGCCTCCTCCCTGGCTCCGGAGGTGGGAGGTCCCACCTCATTCTCCAGCACCAACAACGGAATGCTCCTTACCAGTTTCCCCTTGAGAAAGAGTGGAATCAAGATCTATAGTCTCTCACCCGGCCACACTGCGTTTTGTTCTCTCCAGCCCTGCTTTGTAGCTCTCCCTAAACCCGAAACTTGCCCTGTCCTTGCATAGCATCTCCAAATCTAGCGTCTTCACCCCTTGACCTACAGATAACTGCTAATGTGACAGTCTGCCAGTCCCTCTCCCAGCACTGGACATCCTCCTCTTGATAGAGTCCAGGGTCACGTTCAGTCAGCTCACCTTCAGTGGGATGCCCTTCCCTCCATCCGCAGCCTCTCCCCTCTCGGACCCCTTTATCCCTCGGCTGGCCCTCGCCCAGCCCAAGGCATGCACGCGGCTCCTTTCTGCTCTACATTCTAACATCTCGAGAGGCCCGCTTTCTAGCCTTCTGGGAGTCTTCCCCTTGCTGGTTCTTTCCTGTGCATTGATTCATACTTTTAGTTTTAGGAATTGGTTGTTATTTTTTTCTCCTACAGAGGACCAAACAGATGGGATGTGTCCTCATGGGGCCCACGTGTACCTATTCCACCTTCCAGATGTAGTAAGTAGTTTGGTTTGTTGTTGTTTTCATGCCCCTGTGAATTGAAGTCAGGACATCATATCAAGATTTAACTGATATATCAAACAGCAGTCTACTCAGGGCAATACAATTGAGGGTGCCAGGGCCCTCGTATGTTACAGTCTCTCTATAACTGTCATTCCCTCATCCGGGTAACTCTGCCTTTGCTCAGTGTGGGGTGGATGACAGTAGATATTCCGCTTCTGTTACTAACATCTGAGCTTGAAAAGCAAAAAGGTAGAGGTGAAAAGTTAGACTCCAGGCAGGACACAGGGAAGATAGTGAACTTAGATATTTTGAGAGTTGAATAAAGGAAATCTTCCCAGAAGTATGGGCAGAATGTGCCCAAACACAAAGGAAAGTACAGCACCCTAGGGCATTAACAGGGCTCCGTTCCCTCCTTAGGGCTGTAAGAATAGGGAAGGTAGCAGGGTTCTTATTTCAAAGCACTATTTGAGGATTATATATATAACATACTAAAGTACTCTGCACAGTGCCCTTATCAGCTTAGAAAAAAAAGAAAAAGCTTCCACTGTATTTAGAGTGAAAATACTTCCTGGCTTTGGGAAAATCGCCCTCATCCCTTTCGATCATTTCACTCAGCGTAATTCTCCTCACTGCAAAACACTTTGTTCTGCCAGATCACCTCTCCCCCAATCCAAATCCCTCTCACATGCCTTTCTTTCACCTGTTTCATCTCCCCGTGAATCAAGGATCACCCTTTGTCTACACAGAGAAAACTATGCTGAAGGAACACTTGCAATAGGTTTTGAAGGGTAGACATTAGACTTCTGAAATTTCTGTTGCAAAGTCTGCTTCTCACACCTCCCACCCAGCTGTATAAACAGACTCAGACGTTCAAACCCACACAGACAATAGACACCCCACAGAAGCACATTTGACCTCCTCTTCTGTACCGAAGTGCAGACGAATACAGAACCTCATCTTCCTTGTGCTCATTCCCAGCTGTCATCTTACCTGACCATTCACTGATATTGCTGGAGAGTGTGCCCAGAAGGAAAGGAGAAGTAGAACATTGATTCACCACTTATGAGGAACTTCCATGTGCAAAGACGCATTTTTGTTGTGTCAGAGCGGAGACAATTAAGTAAAATAGAGAAGGTGACAAGGACACTGATGACCAATACAAGGCAGAGTGGGACAGGTTCCCTTAGAGAAGTACAAGCAAGGTGCTATGGATGCACAGAGGAAATGGTCCCTCTGGTTGGGAGAATTAAGCTTCAAGAGGAGAAAGACTTCATGAAGGAGATGGTATATGAGTTGAGTGTTGAAGAATGGGTTAAATTGTAATGGATAGAGATGATGTGATAAGCATCCCAGCCAGCAGAGGGAGAAGCATATGTGAAAGCAAAGCATCAGGGAAGTGTAGAAAATTTGTGAAAGTCTGTATTAACTGGAGTGAAAGAGATGTATAGGGGAGTAGTAGAGAGAAAACTAGGAAAATGAGATAGGGCCGTATTTGGGTGGCCACGAGTTCTAAGTGAGGGAAGGGTTTTTAATTAGATTTGCATCAGAAACCACTAAAACAGCAGGGAAGTGCCATCAGAAGCAGCTCAACTTTGGGGAAGAATAATTGGAAACAGTGTAGAGGAAAGGCTGGAGCCCACCAGGAGAGACTGAGGACAGGAAAAGCAGCAGGGGAGGAAGAGATCCTGAACTAGTGAGGAAGCAGTCGACTTGGAACAGGAGGATCGCCTTAAAGATATTTAAAAGTAGAATCAATAGCATTTGATAACTGATCGGATATTGGAGTGTGGGATGAAAAGTAGTTGTTGAAAAGGCTTTGAGATATCAAAACGCTAAAAGAAATGGGAAAATCAGGATAAGGAACAGTTCTGAGAAACAAAACTAAGAGACAAATTTAACTGTGGCCGTGAGGAGTTTGAAATGCAAGCAGGACACCCAAGTGAAACCTTTCAGTGGAGCACCGAAGATGGAAGGGGAGGTCATTTTCCTCCCTTTATCAAATACATCTGAAGCATCTACACATAAAGCAGGCAGACTGGAAATGCTGCGGTGAACAAGCTGGGCGTGATCCCACCTTCGTGGCGCTTGCAGTCTGGTGGAGGAGACAGGTATTCAACAGGTTCTCACCCATGATTCCTGGTCTTAGTTATCAAGGAAAGCTCTCCTGATGGATAAAGAGATGTTTAATTAAGGACCTGATGGGTGAGTAAGTATCAGCCAGGCAAAGACAGAGGGGAGCAGCATTTCTGGCATCTGTAAAGACCCTGGTAGAAAATAAAGCTTGCTATGCTTAAGGGACCACAAGCAGACCCGTGGGCCAAGCAGCGCAAGGAAACCAGTAAGGTCCTCAGGTGATGTCTGTCTCAAAGGCCGTCCGTAGAAGAGCTGGCAATAAGGCAATGCATGGAGGGAAGCTGCAGAGGGCATCTTCTGGGCTTTACAACATTTGTAGTAGCTATGGTGGCCCATTTTCTATTTTTTCTCTGCCCTACTCCCCGAAGTCCATATGTCCTAGCCTAGACATTAGGACAACCCAATGACAACTCATTTTAGAATAAAACGAAGTAACCAAGCCACATATACAAGAAAACACCCAGAGTATGCGTAGAACATAGCATACGTTCCGTAAATATTGTTTTAGATTCACCTGTGAGGGACAGACCTATATCCATGGAACACCTGCTTGAATGACCCTGTTTCATTTTTGTTATTTATACCCACACGCTGAAACAGCTTAAAGAGGGATCTTATTTGTACTACTTAGGTTAATCCTGATACTGGTTTCTCTCTCACCCCTTGGCATAGCCTTGACACAGATTTGAAGTATCCCATGATTTCAGCTGGAAGTTTTGGATTGTCGTGTGACTACAAAGAAACTTTAACCAGGCTGATGTCTCCAGCTAGGAAGTTGACATACTTCTTGGTTGACTTTTGGAAGGTCAATTATTTTCCATTCAAAACTTTTTCCTGGAACACTGCCTATGTTTTCAAGAATGGTACCGAGTCTGAGGACTGTTTCTGGTAAGCAGGACCATTAATGTCTTTCTGGCACTTAGCAGGGAGAGAAGCCATAAACTCTCAGCAGGCCACTAGTTATTATCAGACATGCCTTCCATGAATAGTAGCATTGGGAATGGAAACCAGCCCACTTTCTTACACACAAGTGGTACATAGCTTACATTAATTGATTTCACCCTTAAGCTGTAGATATATTTAGATAAGGCTGTTTGTTACTCCTGTTTGAACTAGGTATATTAAGCATAGCTCTCTGAAGTAGATACCCATTAACTTTAGGTCAAATTGAAATTTCACTTGGAAGTGTACAACACTTCACTGATTCCATGATCTAAATCAGTAGCAACAGGTAAAAATGTCTGGTTTTTTTTTTTTAACAGCAACTTTCTTTGAGTCCTTACTTTTTGCCAAACGTTGCGCTAAGCACTTTCTTTTTCTTTTTTTTTTGGTTTGAAGCCATTTTTTTTTTATTGGAGTAAAATTGCTTTACAGTGTTGTGTTAGTTTCTGCTGTACAACAAAGTGAATCAGCTACATGCATATCTATATCCCCTCCCTTTTGGACCTCCCTCCCACCTAGGTCATCACAGAGCACAGAGCTGAGCTCCCTGTGCTATACAGCAGGTTCCCACTGGCTATCTGTTTTACATATGGTAGAGTATTTATGTCAAACCTAATCTCCCAATTCGTCCCACCCACCTCTTTCCCCACTGCGTCAACATGTCCGTTCTCTACATCTACGTCTCTCTTTTTAAAAGAATTTTTATTGGAGTAAAGTATAGCTGATTTACAATGTTGTGTTGGTTTTGCTGTACAGCAAATGAAAAATGTCTTTTCAAGAACATGTTTTAAAAGTTACCTAATACTTATTTCCTAAAAGGAGTGCATGGAGTTATTCAAGGTGGCCACAATTTTCTTCCTGACCTCTACCCAAATTGTTATTAACTACTAGAATGTAGTGGTGTAAGAAGGAGAGTCTGATGTTGAGGCTGACAGTCTTAGGATATGAGGTCTACAGATTCAATTGAATAATGAACGTTTATTCTATAGGATGTGCAGCTCATGTTTCATATTAATAAAAAAGAATCATATGGAGTGTGTTAATATGTCTTGAGAACTCTGAATAAATGTTTTTTAAACATATTTTCAAAAAGTTGCATTTTCTCTTAGAGTTTTTTAGTTAACAGTGATCTGATTTATTTTGTTGTCTCAGTATGATTGACATAAAGTGTCTATGTAATCGTAAATACGTTGACTAAATTTTTTTCTAATTCTTCCCAAATGGCATAAGTGACCTAGCAATAAATATTTATATGTTGTAGATTTATTATTTATTTATTTCTTGGCTGCGTCGGATCTTAGTTGCGGCACGCAGGCTCTAGTTGAGGCGTGCAAGCTCAGTAGTTGTGACACGCGGGCTTAGTTGCCCCAGCATTTGGGATCTTCGTTCCCTGACCAGAGATCACACCCACGTGCCCTGCATTGTAAGGTGGATTCTTTACTACTCGACCACCAGGGAAGTCCCAATAAATATATTTTCACGAAGATAAACCCTCTAAAGAAAAGAGAACAAGTACTATGATCTCCATTTTACAGATAAGGAGAAGGGAAATGAGAAGTAAATGCTGTCATATTACCGTGCAACATATGATAGCAGAGAATGTGCATTCTGCCTGTCCTACACAAGTTAGAAATCATTTCTCTCACAGCTTTTCAGAGGAATAAGGGTGGTGGGGAGGGCAGGATATTGGGTACCATTGCTAAAATAAAATCACAAGGCTCACACAACTCCAGCAAAGGTGGCAGAAAGAATCTCTTGAAGGAGTCTGCAGTAGCTCTCCACCAAAGCATCCAGAGGACCAAAATAGGGTACCCCTGGGAACACACAAGAATCAGCCCTAAGGCAGCACCCTAGAAAGTTTGGGGTGAACTTAGAGCACACAAAAGTCCTTTTCACACAGTAGGAGAAATTATTCCTATCAACTCTGAATTTTTGTACTATAGATTCACAAGTTTCCACTTATCTGTGATAATGGGACAAGCAGAATAGTCTTCCTTCAGCAAATAACAAGAAGCCATTATAAGGGGTTTGCCAAATGTCTACTATCTGTATATATACACGAAGATTCCCTAAAACTTTCCCTAAATTAGATGTCCGTAGTCCTAACCATTGGTATCACGCTGTGTATTGTCTATTGTGTTAGTGGTAGAAATGAATTTTAGGTGAACAAGTCCCTGGACAGATCTGTAAACAGTGAGCAAACAACATGCAAAGCCATGAAGAAACTAAGCTGATTTCTTAGAGTTTCTCTTTTTTTCTGTTCTAGGTACCTCAATGCTCTGGAGGCTGGAGTTTCCTATTTTTCTCAGAAACTTATCTTCAAGGAGACGCTGAGAAGGGATGACGAGTTTCAGCGTATCTTAATGGACCGGAACAGGAAAAGCAATGGTAAGAAGACATGAAGATAATTTTTGGCCAGCTACGTCCACACAACCACCACCTCCCTATGAGTCATTTTGACAAATCTACCACCACAGAGCTATCATCGTTACTGTATATTTTGTATATATTTGCAGAGATCTGTAGCTGCGTGCACCTCCGTTATACTGTTCCTTTTGCTGATTAAGACCTTATCCTCTGAGCAAAATTAGCAAAGTAATGTTGAGCAAATATATTAACATTATGAAAGTAATGATGATGCTAAAATCCATCTTTTATAAGCCAAAAATGATATCACGATCCACTATTAGTAAACTGCTTTTTAAGTTCACCACAATCTAATATATTGTTGGATTTGTGACGAATTCTCAAATATTCTGAACCCTCGTCCCCTGGTGACCAAGAGGATGTATTTATTGATATGTAGCCTTAAGCAAAATTACCAGGTAGGCAAGGATTGTCTCACTTTGCTTTACTCTGTCGGTATTTTACCTGCCTAATGATCTCTCAGTTATAGGCCAAGTGTGAAAGGCCAATGGGATACTAAGTTATTTGGTGATTTATTTCACTTTCCACAGAATTCTTTTTGCAAATAAGAATATATCAGGAGCAAAGGAATCAACTGTGGAATTTTCTACGAGGAAATGTTCTTGCTTGTCAGGATTTCCTGGTATCGCTTGAAATATCTTTTGCTGTTATAATTAAGCATTTGCCATATTAAGAGCCTACCATATGCAAAACGTTAACCAAGATATGGGGAACAAGAAATATAAGATGATTCATGTCCCTAAAGTGTCTACAGTTCAACTGGACAACACAGTGTGTGAACAGATCTAATGAAGTGTCTCCCAGCTTATTCATCTTACTCATCAATCCATGCATTTGGGAAATCTGGCTGCAGTGGATAGGAGAGCTTAGAGAATCAGACTGGAACTCGATCACTGAAATCACTTTCTGAGCTAAGAAGCTGCAACCAAAACCCAAGGAAAGGTGCTTAGGAAGACTTCATAAATTCTCACATTAATTTATATCTTTTCCAGCTACTTTACAAGTGGCAGTGCCCTTCACTTACCACTGAAAATAGCTTCTATAACTACTCCAGCCTCGTGTAATGGAATAAGCACGAAGCCAGACTCCAATACTTGACTATCAGAATTATTCATCCACCGGTTTTTTTATCTCATTGACATTTTAGCTACAGTCTCCTTAAATCAGTAAAATTAAGGGCAAGGACTAGATGATTCTTTTTAAGATCCCGTGCAGTTCTCCTCTGCTTCTATGACTGTAAATGAAAAATAAAAGGAGTGGGGGAGTAAATTGGAGGAACTGGTGTTAATCTTAAAACACGAATGTAGCATGGACTTTACTGGGTTCAAATTCAGGCCCCTGGTTCCCTTCCTGCTTGGGAGTAGACTATTGTATATTTTTCTCCCTGTCTTGCTCTCTCTCCTGCAGTGATTGTTATGTGTGGTACACCAAACACCATCAACATCCTCAAGGGTGACCGAGCAGTGGCTGAAGACACTGTCATTATTCTAGTGGATTTATTCAAGTAGGTATAATATTTGGAAGAACTCTCCTCCTTTCAGAAAGGAAATACTCTAAGGATTTCTGGAAGATATTCTCTTTTCTCACGTTTTGCATAGCCTAAAATGGGATTCTGTATGAAGATAATACTTTAACCAGTGTTTCATTTCTTCTTTATCACACCCTCATTCTTATTTAATTAATTATAGCTTTAGCAGAGACGTATACCTTTGACATCACTATCATGTCAAATACAAAAGTTTTATGAAATCCCCATTAAACCCGCATGCTCATTCAACAAAGATCCTGGTCTTCAGCCTGATTTTAAGGTGTTTTTTTTCCAGGCAGTAATAAATCAACTAATATCCCAATCATATTTCTGAGAACGTGGGCCCTATCTATGCCTTCAATTGCTAATGGCCTTTGATCCTAGATTATTTTTCCTTCAGCCACCTTCGGTAAGAGAAAAGTTCCCGTTAAGTGAATTTGATTTACACAGTTATTCTTTGCCCTCTGTGGTATAGTCATTGGGTGGTGATCTTTTCCTCTGCACTTATCTGGAACTAAGGGGAGAAAATTCTGGAGAACAGAAACTACCTTTTATCACATTCCCTCTTTTCACTACTCATTTTCTAACATGGTTGGAGACCCCACAAACAAACTGTGCAAAGGTAATATCTGAGTCAGATGAGGCTTAAAAAAGGTGTTGCTGGTACACCTGTGTCCCTTGCCCCATCAGCTAGCTCATATGACTTCACTTATCTGATTGGATCATTAATCATTCCCTGTCCGTATTCAGACCAGAAGCTATTCCTGCACTCTATCATATTTGCCTAGTCATTTCACCCACACTAAATGCACTTGTCCCAGTATTGAGAAAAATGAAGCATAGGAACTGCAGGCCTATCTTGTTCACAAAGATAAGCTAGTCAACCGAGCCTTTTAGCTGCAGAATACGAAAAAGAGGGGAAAATGATCAACATTTTATTCCTACAGCCACATTGATGGCTGCTTTCAGTAGCTGCTTTGCCCTCTGGAAGGAGGCCTCAATGTAACCAGGCTGGTGTAATTTTATTTTCAGCAAATCCTCAATCAACTGCCGAAGTGTTGGCATTCTTTTGTCACTATTCCCTAAGGACCTCTGGGTCTGTTTCGGAATGCTCATGAGATAGATTCATTTGAAAGTAGACATAACTTGGGTTCAAATTCTAACTCTGACACTTCTGGTTCATTTGCCTCTTGGGTATTACTTAGTATATCTTGAGATTCTCATTTGTAAAGTGAGAATAAAAATGCCTACTTTATAAGGGTGCTTTTAGGATTAGATGTGACAATATGCGCAAACTATTCAACACAGTCCTCTGTACATAGATGTGTTCACCTACTGTTTGCCTATTAAATGATGGTCATCCTAGTTACAGCGGTTCAAGCTTGTCAGGTTATTTGCATATTAAAACATTAAAATGATTAGGAAGCTTGGGACCCATATGATGGGCAGTGCCATCCCAGACGGTATTGAGGGTCCACAATGTACCAAATACTGTCTAGGAGTCGAGGATACAAGGACCGATAATCTAATGTTAAGAAGCTTACAGTGTTAGAGAAAATGCTTAGTCTTTTCAGCTTATGTTTCACCATCTGGAAAGTAAATTTAATTCACAAAATTTCTCTCTATCCTATCCCTAAATCTCTAAAGTGTTATGAGCACTTAAGGAAAAGAAAGTTTCCAGGTATAAACCAAAAGTCATTAAGCCTTGAAAACAAGCTTATGTGCCCAGAGCCCCTAAAAAAGCTTCCTCAAATAAGTATCTGTGTTCTGATCTTCCTTTCCATTTGTGTATGTTAACCACAGCTGCTTAATTTCTGCTACTCAAGGTAGCAGGTGTAGAAGAAACTTATCTGGGAAAAGTAGAACGTTTTGCAGAAAAAAGATGTTTTAAACTATTTCAAGCCTGCTGTATGAATTTTAGAATCTCCATTTCTATTTTTGGAGGAATCTAATTTTCATGAGAAACTTGTACTTTTTATTCCAGTGACCACTACTTCATGGACAATGTTACAGCCCCCGACTATATGAAAAATGTTCTTGTTCTGACACTGCCTCCTGAAAATTCTGTCTCAAATAGCTCTTTCTCCAAGAATGTATCACTGGTAAGCTTCATATACATATATATATATATATATATTTTTTTTTTTTTTTTTTTTTTTGGCAAGGGTAAAGTATCATTCTTCCATTTGGGACCCAAATTCTAAAATGAGCAATTCGTTTTTTTCACTTGTTCCAATTCACTCAACAAATGTTAACTGAGGCCAATAGCAGGATTCCTGCTACTAAAACTGTTACTATAGGTCACTGTGCTAGGCTCTAGATCAACACCACAGTGCACACTGCTGTAACATCAGAACAGAAATGACAGTGTGGGAAGATCAGAAGAAGCCCTGCTAACGTAGGGGAGGTAGAAATTAAACAATGAAAGATAAATGAAGTCCCCTACATCTTAAAGCAACTTTCTGCTGGCCCTGATATCACAGTTCTACCTCTAGAGATACATATTCCTAGGTTAAGACATTGTCCTTTTTTTAAAAAATTAGGTTGGCCATTGTTCAGGTTTGTCCAGGTGAGGCCTGGTTTATTCCTCTTATCCCAGCATCCCATCTGGTTTAGCATTTGTCCCAGAAAAAGAACCTCCAATTGGACATTAAATCATTAATGTCTCAGGACTTCCCTGGTGGTCCAGTGGTAAAGAATCCGCCTTCCAATGCTGGGGACGCGGGTTTGATCCCAGGTCAGGGAACTGAGATCCCACATGCCGCGGGGCAACTAAGCCCACGCGCCACAACTACTGAGCTCACATGCCTCAACTAGAGAGTCCGTGTGCTCACGTGCCACAAAAACTGCAGACAGAGCCCATGAGCTCTGGAGCCCACACGCCACAACTAGAGAGAGAAAGCCCGAACGCCACAACTAGAGAGAAGCCCACACGCCGCAAAGAAGACCAGACACAGTGGAAGAAAATAAAGAAATTTTAAAAATATATTTTAAAAAATCATTAATGTCTCAATTAAATGCAAGACCCCTGCCTCTAATACCACTTTGGGTTTTATCAGTCACTGCACCTTAACGCGACTAGATTCATCGGATGTTTTCTGCCCTCAGACACAGTTGAGAGCAGGTTTGGAGAGGGAAGTGGAGGGGCAGTCTGTCCTGAGGACCCTGAACAACTTTGGGATGACAAGGCCCAACGAGCAGTGAGGAAAGTTGGGGACCTTTGAGAGAATCACAGTTTTGCCTAGACTAGCAGTTCTAAGCCCTGTGTTTTGCAACCCTGCCAAAATTAGGGGCTGCAACCCCTTTGGGGGCTGGGTCTTAACTGATTCTTTTCATGTCATGAAAGGATGATTTCAGCAAAAGACACTGAAACCAATGAGAAGTGTTTTAGTTTCTCCTTTTTATATTTTCTAGCAAATATACTTCTGGGTCTAGTAGTATTCACATATCATTTGCACAGCTTCTAGGCTCTGGCAAAAGTCTGATTCTTCACAGGTGGGAGTTCCAAAGTGTCTGAGCCGACAGAACTCGCGTGGTCTCGGGGGGGCACAGAACTTTTCATCCATAGCCCATCTCTGTGAAGACAACCACACAACTGTTGCAAAGGCAGAGAAGTTCTGACCCCCTTCTTATGTTCCCCAGGGCAGACCTTTGTGGCTTGAACTAACACCCAATCAGGACTATCTCCAAAGCAAATTCAATGGTATCACCCAATCAAAACTCTTCCCACCCCATCAGGATACTCAAAGGCAGTGAGGTTGTTTTTGTTGCTGTTCTCTTTTCCTCTTAAATGAAAGTGTTATTTCTATATAAAACCTTACAGGAATCGAAAATGCTGTATGTTGTCCTTCCTGGTCGAAGTAAAATATTTTCTCATCATGGGAAGGAGGAAGCACAGCTGCTTTTAGATACTTCCCTAAAGGCAGGGTATGCAGTTTATTGATCCCAAGAGAAGACAGAATTGTCACGTGGGGATGATAAAGAGCCCCGGTCCAAGAAAAGTTTTTCCAAAACTTCCTTTAATACCACCCCTACAATTCCCCTAATATTCCTTTACCTTTCCAGTTACCCTGCTGACCCCAAGAATGTGTTTCTCCAGGTTCAAGACCAGAATCTTTTTTTTTTTTCTTGGAACTCATTTTAAGATTTTCCTTTCTCATTCAGACAAATGATTTTGCTGCTGCCTACCTTGATGGAGTCTTGCTCTTTGGACACATGTTGAAGATATTTCTTGAAAATGGAGAAGAAGTTACCACCCCTAAATTTGCTCATGCTTTCAGGAACATCACTTTTGAAGGTACCGGTTTCCTAGGAGCAAACAACACTTACCTAACAGTTTCTAGAGGAATCTGATGAAATATGGGCCCTATGGGCAGACTTTGGGAAGCAAAGAGAGGGTGTGGCAATAAATGGATCAACAGCTAAATACCTTTTAACTTAATTGGAGGCAAACATAATTGCATAAACCTTGGGGATGCTATAATCTATAACTAGACCCCAGTTTATGCTTCAGAACTTGAGAATCTTTGGATATCAAAGAAAGAGCAGGTAGCTCAGGCCCTGTACTTATGAACAAGCTCATCACAGGGCATTTTGGGCAGTGATGTCCTGACTCTGCTTAGAGACCAGCAAGAAGAGAAGTAGCTGCAGTTTGATTTTCGTCCTTCCATATCTCCCTTTCTGTCCTTTCACCATTGAGTATGATGTTTGCTGTGGGTTTTTCATATATGGCTTTTATTATGTTGAGGTAGTTTCCTTCTGTTCCTAGTGTGTTGAGTGTCTTATCATGAAAGTATTGAATTTTGTAAAATGCTTTTTCTGCATCAATTCATATGATCATGTGGTTTTTTTCTTCATTCTCTTGTAGTGTATTATATTGATTAATTTTTATATGTTGACCCATCCTTGCATTTCAGGAATTAATCTTATTTTGTCATGTTGTATTCTCCTTTGAATATGCTGTTGAATTCTGTTTACAAATATTTTGCTGAGGATTTTTAGATCAATGTTCATAAGGGATATTGGTGTGTAGTTTTCTTTTCTTTTGGTGTCATTGTCTGGCTTTGGTATCAGAGTAATTCTGGCCTCATAGAATAAGTTAGGCAGTGTTTCTCTCTCTTCAGGTTTTTTGGAAAAGTTTGAGAAGGATTGGTGTTAATTATTTTTTTAATGTTTGGTAGAATTCACTGGTAAAATCATTAGGTTCAGGGCCCTTTCTTAGGGGGTAGAGGGTCTGGAGATTTTTGACTACTGATTCAGTGTCCTTACTAGTTATCGGTCTATTCAGATTTTCTGTTTCTTCATGGTTTTGCTTTGGTAGGTTTTGTGTTTCTAGAAATTTGTTCATTTCAACTAGGTTATCAAATTTTTTGGCATACAGTTGCTCATGGTACTGCCTTATATTCCTTTTTATTTCCTTAGAATTGGTTGTAATGTCTCCACTTTCATTTATGATTTTAGTAATTCAAGTCTTCTCCTTTTTTCCTTATTCTATCTGGCTAAAGGTTTGTCAATTTTGTTGAACTTTTTGAAGAACCAACTTTGGTTTCAATTGATTTCCGCAATTGATTTTCTCTTCTGTATTTCATTTATCTCTGCTCTAATCTTTACAACTTCCTTCCTCTGCTAGCTTTGGGTTTAATTTGTTCTTCTTTAACTAGTTCCTTAAGTTGTAAAGTTAGGGTGTTGATTTGAGACCTTTGTTGTTTTTTAATGTAAGCATTTATAGTTATAAATTTCCCCTTAGCACTGCTTTCACTGTGTGTGCCCCATAAGTTTTGGTGTGTTGTATTTTTATATTCATCTATCTCTAGGTCTTAAAATTTTTCCCTTGTAATTTCTTCTTTGATCCGTTGATTGTTTAAGTGTGTGCTGTTTAATTTCCACAAATTGGCGAATTTTTCAGTTTTCCTTCTGTTATTGATTTCTAACTTCAGCTCATTGTGGTCAGAGAAGATACTTTTTATGATATCTATCTTTTAAATTTTACTGAGACTTAATTTGTTGCTTAACATATGGTCTATTCTGGAAAATGTCCTACAGGCACTTGAGAAAAATGTGCATTCTGTTGTTGGGTAGAATGTTCTGTATTTGTCTCTTATATCTAGTTGGTTTATCATTTTGTTCAAGTCCTCCGTTTCCTTACTTATCTTCTGTCTTGTTATTCTATCCATTAGTGAAAGTGGAGAGTCCACTCTCCACTGTCCATCTCTCTCTCTCTCCTTTGTTTTTTTTTTTTGACTGTGCTGGGTCTTTGTTGCTGCGCACGGGCGTTCTCTAGTTGTGGCGAGCAGGGGCTACTCTTCGTTGCAGTGTGTGGGCTTCTCATTGTGGTGGCTTCTCTTGTTGTGGAGCACAGACTCTAGGCACGTGGGCTCAGTAGTGTGGCTTGCGGGCTCTAGAGTGCAGTTTAGGTAGTTGTGGGGCACGGACTTTGTTGCTCCGCAGTATGTGGTATCTTCCTGGACCAGGGCTCAAACCCATGTCCCCTGCAGTGGCAGGCGGATTCTTAACCACTGCGCCACCAGGGAAGCCCTGTTCATCTCTTAAGTCATGTAGAAAACAAAAAGTGGAGTAACACATTGTTCTTACAATAATACTAGATTTTATAATTGCTTGTGTATTTACCTTTACTGAGATCTTTATTTCCTGACATGGCTTCAAGTTACTGTCTATTGTTCTTTCATTTTAACCTGCCAGACTCCCTTGAACATTTCTTGCAGGGCAGGTCTAGTGGTAGGTAACAAACCCTCTCAACTTTTATCTTAGAATGTCTTACTTTCCTTTCACTTTGAAGGACAGCTTTGTTGAATAAAGCGTTCTTGATTGACAGTTTTTTCTTTTAGCATTTTGAATATATCAGCCCACTGCCTTCTGGCCTTCAAAGTTTATAATGAGAAATCTGCTTATAAATCTTATTGAACATCTCTTATATGTGATGAATCACTTCTCTCTTGCTGCTTTCAAAATTCTATGTCTTTGGCTTTTGACAATTTGATTATAATGTGCCTTGGCATGGATTTCTTTGAATTCATCCTACTTGGCATTTATTGAGCTTCTCGGATGTTTATATTCATGTGTTTCATCAAATTTGGGAAGTTTTCAGCCATTATTTTTTTAAATAGTCTCTTTACTCGTTTTTCTGTCTTCTCCTTCTGGGACTTCCACAATGCATGTATTGGTCTGCTTGCTGGTGTCCCACAGGTCCCTTACACTCTGTTCACTTCTTTTCAATCCTTTTTATTTCTGCTCCTCAGATTTGATAATTTCCATTGTCCTATATTCAAGTTCACTGATTCTTTCTTCTGTGGGCCTAAATATGCCTTTGATCCCTCTAGTGAATTTTTTATTTCAGTTACTGTACTTTTCATTTCCAGAATTTCTTTCTGGTTTCTTTTTTAGGTTTTCTACCTTTTTATTACTATTTACATTTTGTTCATACATCATTTTCTTGACTTTATCCATGCCTTTCTTTAGTTCTTTGAGCATCTTTAAGACAGTTGTTTTAAGGCCTTTGTCTAGTAGATCCACCATCAGGTCTTTTTCAGGGATAATTTCCACTGGGTTTTTTTTTTTCTCTTATTTTGAATGAACCATACTTTCCTGTTTCTTTGTATGCTTTGTGTTTTTTGTTGAAAGCTGGACATTTGAATCTAATAATCGGTAATCCTGGAAATCACACGGGGAATGGGGAGTTTTCTCATTCCCCAGGGTTTGCTGTTTTTTGGTTTTGCTTTTTGTTTTTATTGTTGTAGACTATCTCTGCTGAGGATCAGCCTGAGGTGTAAACTTAAGGTCTTCTCAGGTCTTTTCTGAGCCTCTGCCTTCCCCTGGGCATGTGTAGTAGCTTTCTAATTTCCCCTATATATGCAGTTGCTTGAATATTCTAGTCTTCAATGTCTGTCTCTCAAAGGGGAAAAAGAGAAAAACGAAGGGGGATTGAGGGGAGCACCAACCCTTTACATCCCTTGACAGTCATAATCAGCAGAGGGGGAAGGGCTTCAACAATGGGGGAGGTGCAGCGGCAGTGGCTGCCACCATTTTGCCTGCACCTCTGTGAACCTGCTAGCTGTACCTATAACCTGGAACAAGTTAGTAATATTTCTGACCTCAGACTTCTCATCAATAAAATGGAGATAGTAACAGCTTCTATGTCATGGTATTTGGGGAAGAATAAAATGATAAATGCATATAAAGCACTTAGCACAGCGCCTGGTCTAGTGAACACAAAATGAGTATCAGCTGTTATGTTGAACCATGTGAAATTGCTGATATTTCATCAATTTTTTTCTTTTACCTAAACAGCCATTTCATAGGCTCATCCTATATGGCTATCATTTCATAGTTGAGAAAACTGAGACTCAAATAACTTAACTTTTTCAAATTAACTTTTTCAGTGTGTGCAGCTCATACATGGTAGTGAAGGGATTTTGACCTTTTTACAATCTAAGTTAGATTATGGAGCGACAAACACTGTGCCACTAGTTTAGTCAATGCTCTCAACAAAAACGTGTCACTAATAATCAGGAGAAGTCTACGGACTGATTACATTTAGTGTCACCATTCTAAATGCAATGAAAAAGAATTTTCCTTCTAACTAAATACCATCTCTTATAAAAATACCCTTCAGAGATCTCAGGGCCAAGAACCAATCCAGATGCCCTCAGCTTGCATCATTAAGGTCAATTTTTCAGTAAAATAGAGCAATTTGAATCTATTTTATACCCTCTGTCAGGATGTAACTGGTCTTTCAGTCAAGAAGTCAACAATGGCCTCTAACTCTTTCTGATTTTGCTCTAGGGCGTGTGGGTCCAGTGACTTTGGATGACTGTGGGGATATTGACAATACTATGCTCCTTCTGTACACCTCTGTGGACACCAACAAAGTATGTCTGACTTCTTATCGGCAACTTGGGGTTAAGTGACTAGGTGAGGAGGGTTCTCCTGGAAGGCAAATATTGGGTTGGCCCAAAGGTTTTCTGTAACTAAGATCTTACAGAAAAGCCGAACAAACTTTTTGGCCAACCCAATACTAGCAAAGGAATTAGAGAAGTTATGTTTAGAATCTAGAGGTTAGTTTATTTCAGATTTATGATTATGCCCCCCTTGGGGCCGTATTCCTTAAATATTTTCTCCCATAGAACTTCTTATTCAGAATATCCACTCTATTTACTGTATAAAAAATACCCACCCAGAAAACACTGGTATAAAGACCAGACTGTTGATGGGATACCAATGAGAAGGTGATGGTTTTTTCCTAAGAATTGTTTATTCATTTCCACAACTAAAAATTTGAATGAAGCATTACCTCTTCTCTCTCCTTCTGAAGTCTCATGAAAATCATTAATTGTGTAATCCCTCTGGCACATACAAACAGCCTTCTAATGTTATGCTTTATGTTCACACACTATATATACATAGTGCATATCTATAGATAGATATTTACACACCTACATATGTGCTTTATATTCACACACACTATATATAATACATATCTATCTATCTGTAAATAGACAGATAGATATATTCACACACCTACACAGTAGGTTCTTTGAAGAAAGGGGTGGATCTCATTTCTCCATGTCTCCTGTGCTTAGCTTCTTATCTGGCACATAGGTGATGGCTGCTAAGTGTTTAATTTAAAAACAAAAATACCTGCCTTTATGTCACCCAGAGTTGTGACCATCATGAACTAGAAGCCACTGTTCTAACCAACCAAATGGTAGGTAGAAACCTTTTCTTCTTTAAGAAGTTAGGTCCTGACATAACCAGGAATCTACTAGAAAAAGTTTTTCATTTTTTCATGTAATTTTCCAATATGAGCATTCTGACATCCCTAACTCATATACTGAGTGTATGTATTGACCCAGCTTTGTAAAAGACAACTATAATGTGAAATGTGGAAAGCTAGAGAAAAGATGCTCAGATTGAGAAAGTTAAACTAGAAGTTCGGGGCGGGGGGTAGCAGCATTTCAGAAAAGTAATGCATCGTTTTTAGTTACATTGTTTTACTTATACTGAACCTTTACTATAATGCTGTATTTGGCATCATACCATGGGAATACCTTAAAATGAAATCTGCTCAATACTTCAGTTTCTAGTAGTAACTACTGAGATAACTACATGCCCCTCTAAGTTATTTGCACCTGGGATGATGGCTTTGCCTCCCTTGGAATGAGGCAGATACCTGCGGTGAGATTCTATGTCAGCCTTATGATTGCTCTTCAAAATGAAAAATGTGGTTCTGTGCACTTGCTGTCTCCACAGGCAAGTCTAGTTGAACCTTTCAATAATCTAATGCCATCAATTGTGCTGTATGATATGTATCTATGGGGAAACCAGGGATTAATTCTCAAAACATAGGGCTATAGATAAGTTATTCCATAACCAGAGTAGGTCTCAGTAGAGATATAATCTACCAGCCCCTAATATGTAGGATATTTTCTATCCTCAGTATATGCAAGTTTATATTCTGTTTTCAAGTTAAGAGTATAATTTTGAGAATGTAAAATTTTGTCCAGAATGTTTTGCGGGAACAGTGGTGAATTTAGAAGGATGAACATTTTCCAGATGCCTCTTACAAAACTGACTCAATATATGCAGCAGTAATTTAAGGATATATTAATGTTTCCATTGACAGATTACTTGAAAAAGAAACCTTTTATCTTGGAAACCTAGTGAGTGCCGTGTCTAAGAAAGTACATTAGAGCATAGGGCCAGAAGAGATTCAAAAATTATGTAATTGACAGAACTTAAGAAATGTAGAATTCTCTAGGAGCCCCTTGACGTGTATAAATATGGATAATGGATGTTAGCTATGGTGCATTTTCTCAAGACATCATTTTTAGTAGCAACTTAATATTGTGGAAAACACTGCTGCCTCCCTTGTCATGTGACTTGGAGCTAGCCATTTAATTTTTCTTGCTTCTATTTTAACATTAGTAAAATGAAAGACTTGAACTAGAAAGACCCAAAGAATCTCTGCTGGGCAGGTGTAGCATATGGTCATAAAGAAACAGAAAACTAATCGGCCCACATGGAGCTTAAATCCATGTTCATGGTGAGAACCAAGTGGATCCTGACTAGGTCCTGGCTGGTAACATTTACCTTGTTTCACTGAGAAACATTGCTATGAAATTCAAATGTCATTGGGCAGCACGGTTAATCTGATCAGAAGTCATTCTAAAATGTCTTTTTCTGTTCATCCTTCTTCTTTTCATGCCCCGACACAGTACAAGGTTCTTTTGACCTATGACACCCACATAAACCAGACTAACCCAGTGGATAAGAGCCCCACATTCATCTGGAAGAACCACAAACTTCCTAATGATATTCCAGGCCAGGGTAAGATATCCTTCATGAAGCTTCTTTTCCTGAAATTGTCTTTTTGGTAAGGAGAGTAAATTCTGTGGTTTATGAAATTAGCCTGTGTTTTTTGTTTTGTTTTGCTTATTGTCTGTATTAGATTTGCCAGGTTTGTAAACATGGACTTTACGTCTCTGTCCAATGAATAATATTACAGTTCTGATAAAACACTGAAGATATCCCATTCTAATTTAGCTATAACTGTCTTTAAGATAGGGTGTCTTTAATAGGGTGTCCTACCTACCCCTTGACGTAAATTTTCCTATAGAAAACTAGGTTTGGCAATTGGCAAAATGAACACAGAGACACATAGTCTCACTCCATTTACATTTTACTGAAGGAAACTCATGGAATATATATTTCAGCAAGGAATACTCGATGTCATTAGACTGAGGGTGGTAAGTGAGCGTGGCCTCTGAAGTCTCCCCCGTTTCCTCAGAGGACACATACTTGGGTCATAATGACGGTTACCTTCCTACCTGAGATGAGGTCCCATCATGTCATGAAAGCCCTAATACGGCTAGGGCTTCACCCATGCAACTTGCCATGCAACTGTATAACACTGACTGTCACTGGACAGGGCCAGCTGAGTGTCTCATGGGCAACAAGGTCTCAGGACACTCTGCCCATGGCTGGCTTGGCCAAGGCTTTCCACAATGAATAGTAAGTAATTCCATATTACTAATCAATTTTTAGGAAAAAAGTTTAAATTTGAACAAATATTTATGCCCAAAGATGCAAAAGAAAAAAAAAAGGTGGAAACATTATTAATAAAATGACTTAGAAAACTACAATGTATTCAGAAATGGGGCAGCATGCAATCAATTAAAAATAATTATTTACAAAGAATTGTAAATGACATTGGAAGTTATGAGTAAAGTAATACAGCTTTTTTATTTAATGAAAGTCTAACTTTGCAAAACAGTGTATAGAAATAAGACTGCAGAAAAGTATGCTAAAATGTCAACAGTCGTAGCCTCCGAGTAATAGTATCCTAGATTTTCTTTTTGCTTTTTTATGTATTTCTTAATTTTCTAAATTTTCCATAATGACTCTATTAATTTACCATTTTTTAAAAATATTAAAAATTATAAACTAGAAATACTTCTATCCTAGCCCTGCTCTACAGCCAGAAACTCTGGCTGAAAGGTTGATCTGGCTAAAGAGAACAGTTCTGATTAAATGGGCTTGTTTACATTATAGCTGTAACTGTGTTTCTAGTTCTTGTGTTCCATGAGTCAAATTTGGTTAAAAATGAATCCTGTGTTTTTAGTCAATAGACATGAGGCAGTTGACTGAAGCAAAGAGAGAGGTAGGAAGTAGGGATCCCATTCTGCTAAATGATTTACTGTCATCATGGCTTTTTAAAGTTGATTTGTTTTCTTTAGCAAGCTTTTTTTTTCTTTTTAATTATCTCTAGAACCATCTTCAGGCTTCCTAGATTCAAGCCAAACTTGAATATATCTCTTTTCTCACAGGCTCCTGCAACTCTATGCTTCTTTCTTTTGTAATTTTTTGAGTTAAAATTATTTTTCTTTTTCCTTAATTATAGCCCTCAGTGACAGAGTTGGGTTTGTATTTTTAATATATTTCTTTAAAAGTTTTTAGATATTTTGGTTATTTAACAGAAAGTCTGTACTGTGTAAAATAATGAACTTCTCAAAACATGATTTTTGAGAGAGTTCTCCTTATTTACCTAAACGAGATCACATTAAATATTTACATTACATACGACAGGGACGTTGCCTCATCCTGGGCAACTTTACTTCATCCTCAGTTAACTAGAAAATTCAGTTAGCCAGAGCTTTTCATTCTTTAACTGTTACATTTAGTTTCAGACTTTACAAATTAAGTAACTCAGTCTTTCAAATAGTACACAAATAAGATAGTCATGCCTGGTCTTTCATCTGTGTACACAACTGCCAACTAAGTAACAGAACGTTTCATCAGGAGATTCTACCATCACTGTCTTTTCATTCATCTGACAAATATTTACTTAATGCCAGACAATGTTCTAAGCACCTGGGACGCAGCAGTGTACAACGCAGATCTGGTTCCTGTTCTGCACCCAAGCCTTCCTCAGCTGCCTCCTGGGTTCCAATGACATCCATCTGTCTTCCTGCTCAGCCCCACCTCCTACCCACCTCAAACCCAACCACCACTGCTGCCAGAGGGACAGCGCAAATCCAGTCGCATTACCCAACTGCTGCTAACCCTTCGATTGGCAGCTCCACTTTGCCTTCAGAGTCCAAATGACTTATTATAGCACAGAATGTCCCTGATCTTCCCACGTCTCCAGCCTTCTTTTTCATCTTACCTGAAATCTCTTCCCCACTCTCTCAACTTCCTCCTACTTCCTAAAAGAAAGGGTCTCGCAGCTTCATGCTCCTGGGTCTTTATTGATGCTACTCCCTCTGACTAAAATCTGTCACCATCACCCCCCATAGAACTAGTAAACAACCACTCATCCTCAATGTGTAACTTGGATTTCACCTTTCCTAAGCTTTTTCTTAGCATCTCAGGAGGTTATTGATCTTGCCCTTATTACACCGGACTTCTAGCTTATTACTTATATCTCATTTATTTGTTTACACCATACACCGTGTAAGTGTAGGGTCCGTTCTTTACTCAGACACAGTGCCTTGAAAGGAAGGAAAGAAGGGAGGAAATGAAGGGAGGAAGGAAAGAAGTGAGGAATGAAAGGCAGTATGAGATAACTATGAATATGCTGCTATTCAGCACTAATCTAGACAGTGTTAATTTCATCCACTTACTTCTCTAACTATGAGTATCTTCCTCTGTTAAGTCAGGAGATTTGTTAACTGATCTCAGAGTTCTTTCCAACGATCATGTTCTATGACCTTGGGGTTATAAAACTCAATCTGCATTCACCGTCTATCTAGTTAAATAGGCTGTGATAACCACAGTAGCCACCAGAGGGCAGCAGAAACTTAACCTTAGAACTAACGTGATACGGTGATTTACAAGTATGTTGAATTAAAAATTACTATATTTAAATAGTATGTAGTATATTTAAATATCATAATTATATTTCATGCAATGTGATGTTTATACTAGGGAAGAATTGAGAGGGGCTAAGGACTCAGCAGGTATTCCCTCCAACTTATGCTGTAGTCTGGAGGCTGGGTAATTTTAGTAGACTGACGAGTAGAATTGTCTGCACTGTTGAAATTGTATTCCTCGTACTCACTGTTGTTTTTTGTGTGGGGTTGGGGTTATGAGAGTGGTGGTGATGGGGATGGAAGTGGTGATTGTAGTAATAAACGGAATTCACCAAAGTCAAATATGCCCACAATGCAGCTCCACCTCCAAGGGAATAATTTATTTCTGCGCTAACGAGAATAGAAATCCAGGGCTCACATTTTCACCGTTAAATTTTCCCCTTAGCAGAAAACAAAATAACAAGCAGAGGCAAAGTTATAAGTTAGCAAAGCATAACTCCTTCCAATTCATCCCTTATAGAAAGGTGCTGCAGTATGAACCTTACTAAACCCTCTACCTCAGAAAAAAAAAATGGTTAGCTCATTAGAAGGACATAATGTGATGAAACAAAAATGGTTCAAAAATATGTGTGACATGTAAGCTAAGTCTAATAGCACAAGAGATTTTTTTAATGTGAATTTATTTACATATATTATTTGGGCATTTTTCTTTGCCTCTTCTCAGAGAGTGAGATGAGCAGGGCCAAGTTTTTATTCAATTTTTTATTTATTCAGTAATTTTTTATTGATACGTGACCAGGTACCAGGTCTGGTGCTGCGTGCTAAAGGTATCAGGATGAGCAGACAGAACACCGGCCGTGCCCTCAAGGGTCTATGTTATGGTGCCATGAGAGAGAATACAGTGTGAGGTGTTGAGGTGCTACTTGAATAAGATCTGGCCACTTATCATTCCAGGGACACCTTAATTAATTATATTTTTATTGTATAAAAATTCATGCACGTGATTTTAAAAGCCAAGAGTAGAAATATTCATAATGGAAAGTGAGTGTACCTGGTCCCACCTCTGTGCATCCCTGGTTTTGCAGTCCCGTCTGCTTCGTTTTTTTTCATATTTTTAAATAATATGCATATATTTTTTGCTTTATAAGCTTTAGATGTTATCTATTTATTTCTTGTATTGATAAATGAAGATATAGTTCATTTTCACTAGCCCTACTTTTCTCTAAGCTTTCTCAATATAGTTATATCTTTTTGTCAATACATTTATTGGTGCCTTGTAATTTTAATTAATTTTGCATAAGCTTCGAGTTCTATCAAGTATATATAAAAGTTCTTGCTTCCCAGCTTTGTAAGATGAAGACGTTAGTGTCACTTTCCTTTCTTCTACCTCCTTCCCACCTCCCAAATTCTCCTGTATTTTGCTTTAATTTGTCTGGGTTGATAATATTTTTTTGGTAGCCATATGAAGCCCTCTGTCATTTACCTATCAGTTGAAAATTACTAAACATTTTCATTATTATTATTATTTTTATAAAGCTAGATAGCATGTCAGGATAACATTTCTTTCTGTATAACTCCAGTGTCTCTCCTTTGTGACACACACACACACACACACACAAATGGATTTTTTAAATTCCAAATTCTCAAACTATTTTACTTCGTTTTATTTTTAGATGCGCCTTCCTTGATCATTCTTCCCTAGAGTTTCTGATTGGGTCTCTCTTATTTATGCTATAAAGAAAAAAAAAGCCTGTCTCCTTCACCATATTGCTATTACCTTCCAGCTTCTTACACACTACCTGTTGCTTGGAATCCATTTCATTTCTTCTTGAACCCTCTAACTTCCTATTCTAATAAGGATCTGCTGAGGCATGTTTGAACAATGACTTTCTTGTACAGTTTTTTTTTTTTTTAATTTATTTTTGGTGCATTGGGTCTTCATTGCTGTGCACGGCTTTCTCTAGTTGTGGCGAGCGAGCCGGGGCTACTCTTATCTGCAGTGCGAGGGCTTCTCATTGCAGTGGCTTCTCTTGTTGCAGAGCTCAGGCTCTAGAGCGTAGGCTCAGTAGTTGTGGCGCACGGGCTTAGTTGCTCCACGGCATGTGGGGTCTTCCCCTGCATTGCCAGGCGGATTCTTAACCACTATGCCACCAGGGAGACCCTCTTGTACAGTTTTGTTATTGTCGTTGTCCTTCTTAATCTAGGCTTAGTCCTCTGCACACTCAGAGTCTGCTTCAGTGCTTCGTTGGGTTGGATCCACGTTTTCCTGAACTCCACTGACTCTTCTGCGAGTCTCTCAAATTCCTCCTTCTACACAGCTTCACCTACATGCTAATAAATCACATTCCTTACGTACTTCATGGACTTCCCTCAATGACCCGGTTGAGCTTGGAAAGGACCAGTGGGCAATACTGTCATGTACTGTTCACTCCACACTGTCCTACTTTTCCTCCGATGTGTTCTCTGTATTGAAAAACAGTTGTCTATTTCTTCCTCTATGAATCCTCCTTAGGTATATTGGTATCAAAGACATCAGATAGTCTTCCCACCATAATTATTTGTGTGCCAGAAACTATTTTATGTCCTTGTAACATTTGATGATTCCCGTAAGAAACGAGATGTCTAAACTATAAGGGTAGATGAAATTAAGCCACTTTGGGGCACATTCCAGACGGTTTTCCTCATAGCCCAAGGATGCAGGATCTGTATTACCAATGAAGAGATTAATAAAAGACAGATATCTTTTTTTAATTTAATTTTTATTTTATATTGGAGTATAGTTGATTTACAGTGTTGTGTTAGTTTCAGGTGTACAGCAAAGTGCTTCAGTTATGCATATACCTATATCCATTCTTTTTCAGATTCTTTTCCCATAGAGGTTATTAAGAGAATATTGAGTAGAGTTCCCTGTGCTATACAGTAGGCCCTTGTTGATTATCTATTTTATATACAGTAGCGTGTATATGTTCATCCTAAACTTCTAATTAATTTATCTCTCCCTCCCACTTTTCTCCTTTGGTGACCGTTTTTACATTTGTTTTTAAGTCTGTTTTAAGTTTGTTTTTACTTAAGCTTGTTTTGAAGTCTGTTTTAAGTTTGTTTGTTTTTAAGCTTGTTTGTTTGTTTTGAAGTCTGTGAGTCTGTTTCTGTTTTGTAAATAAGTTCGTTTGTATCATTCTTTTAGATTCCACATATAAGTGATATCGATAGTATGATGTTTGTCTTTCTCTAAAAGACGGATAGCTTAAAAGGTCTCTCCTTTTCCCCATCCTCAAGTTATATTACACAACTAGAATCTTGTGGGGTGTGCGCATTGTCTTTTCAAAGGTCCTTACTGGTGCGTTTTCACCGTCTTCTCTGCCCCAGGCCCTCAAATGCTGATGGTCGCCGTCTTCACTCTCACGGGGGCCGTGGCCCTGCTCCTGCTCGGCGCCCTCCTGGTGCTCAGGTACCTTGCAGCCCCTCTAACCTGCCGTGCTCCCCACTCAGAGAGGGAAGGGGGCGAGAGGGAGAAGGCACGTCTGTGGATGATAGTATACATTCACAAGAAGCTCTCTGGACAGATCTAAGATCATGAAGGCATTCAGCATCAAAGACTCCATTAAGGGCAGAATATTACTCAGTGGATGGATTAGAGCTTTGCCCTCAGAGACGTTTGAACTCAAATCCCAGTTCTGGGCTTTACCAGTTCACGGCTTTACCGTGTGGTGTTAATCATATTATTAGCAACTTAAACATGTTACTGGGCTTCCCTGGTGGCGCAGTGGCTGAGAGTCCGTCTGCCGATGCAGGGGACGCGGGTTCGTGTCCTGGTCCGGGAAGATCCCACGTGCCGTGGAGCGGCTGGGCCCGTGAGCCATGGCCGCTGAGCCTGCGTGTCCGGAGCCTGTGCTCCGCAACGGGAGAGGCCACGGCGGTGAGAGGCCCGCGTACCGCAAAAAAAAAAAAATGTTACTCAGCTTCAGTATCCTCATCTGAACTGTTGTGAGGAGTTGAAATAAGGTCCGTATCGTGACCATATACCAGGCATTCTACAGGTAGAAATAGCTATTTCTGCTGTTTTATTAGTATATTGTGGGCAATTTCAGAGTCTCTATATTACGTACTTTCAGGCCAGAAGAGGCTTTAGAAATCATCCATTCCAAACCTCCTGCTTTAGCCTGAGGAAAGAGAGACCCAGAAAGCCAAATGGCTTGTCTGGAATCACATCACCAGGTAGTGTGTTGGGCCAAAGGTAGAACTCAGTCCTTCTGACCATCAGTTCCATGATGGTTCTACTCAGCCTGGACATATGAAGAGCCTAGTGCAGTGCCAGAGACATAGTCTGTATACTCAGAGATATTTCTTGAATATATAAGTGAATGAGTGAGTCCCACACTACCTCCTAATCTGTGTGTGTTAAACACACAAAGCTTTCTATCCCATTATAGTGTCAGGATCATTCCCATTTCCTAACTAAACCAGACAACAGTTTTTCTCTGTGTATCACACGCTTTGGTCTGTGTGTCACTGTACCTTCTCATGATGAGAGTCCAGTCTGTTGCATGTCAGTTAAAGGTTTCTGCAGGAAAGTGGGTAGATTGTCCTCTTCAGTCTAAAGGCAGAGCTTGACTCCTGTGACTCTGTATTACCAAGAAATGTAAGAGATGATTTACAGTGTATGGTGACCATTTAGTTGAAGGTAAGAGGAAACCAAAATTTGAGGAGAGTAAAGGCAGCCAATAGTAGGACCACAGATGTGGCTATTGTCCCTCAGACACCAAGTCCAAATGGGCGTCAGCTTAAGATAAGATGAATCACAAAGTAAGAAACAGTAACAGGTGGAAACAGGCATTTTCCGTTTCCTCTAAGCAGGGAAGGCAGAGATAGGGCTTCCTAATGGCGAGAGCAGCACTGTGTCCATGAGGAGATATGGAAGACAGATGTTATTCTTATAGTTTTCCATTCCAACAGCTATGCAAGAAAAGTAGTGAATGATTTATAGCATCCTCTAATTCAATATGAATGGCAGTTGGCTCTGTGGAGTCCCAGGAGTCTTCTGCAGTGCAGAGATGAGAGTCTGGGAGCCTTCAAGGCCCTAATAGTCACGCCACTTGCCACCAGGTCTTAGGACCAAAATCTTTGGCCAATAATATACTATTTTATATGTATCTAATAGAGGAGTAGTCAGAGTTAGATGGAAGCATAGGAAGAGAATAATCATTTCTACTTAGGGGACATTCACAATGTCATCATCAATGACCTTGAGAAGGTGAGTAGGAGTCTGTCAAATGAGCACAAGCAAAGACAAACTCAGGGACAAATAGGCCAATGGAAAAGAATACAGATTCTAGAATCTGACACGAGCAAGTGTGAGAACTTGGCATATGATGGGAACATTATGAGTCAGTTGGGAAATGATGTTGGAACAGTAGGCTCTCAACATGAAACAAATGAAATGAAAGCCCTACCTGAAACAATACACAAAGATAAAGTTCATTCCATATGGACTGTAAATGGATTACAGACCTAAATGTGAGAAAGCAAACTCAGAAGAAATTAATAGAAAATGACTTTATGTCTCAAGTAGGAAAATACTTCTCAGTCAAGATAAAAAAGAAAAGTCAAAGAGAAAATAATATAACCATGACCTTAATAAAATCAAAACTTTTTATACAGCAGAGCTCAATAAAGCAATAAACCACAAGAAGGCATTTGCAACGCATCAAAGGACCAAAGATTTGTTTTGCAGAATTTATAAGGAACTCACGTAAATAAATAAGGCAAAGGCAATGCAATAGAAAAAATGGGCAAAATTATGAATAGGCAACTCTATAAAATAGCTAGAAAATATTTGAAAAGATATTTAATCTCTCTAATAATCAAGAAAATGAAATAAAAAGCAACAAACACCATTTCACATACATCCTAAGGGTTAAAAAAAGTTAAACAATACCAAATGTTGTTAAGAATACGGAGGAAATGGGAATTTTCACAGTGAGAGGGCAAATTGGTGCAACCGCTTTGGGAAACAATTTGGCAATGTCTGTAAAGTTGTGAGCGTGCATTCCTATAACCCAAGAATGCTGCTTTGTCTATACTCTCTGGGGGAAACAATCACAAATTCTTGACATTTTGAATGTTGGGTTACATGTTGTTACATTTTTCTCTGTGCTTTTCTATTTTCTTAATGGATTTTTTAAAAGGCACATATGCCGAAGAGGAACTGGCTTATTTGGGAATCTGATGTATCCTCTGTTTTCGCCTCACTCTTTCTGTGACATCAGTTGAAATTTTTTTTTTTTTTTTTGCTGTACACGGGTCTCTCACTGTTGTGGCCTCTCCCGTTGCGGAACACAGGCTCCGGACGCGCAGGCTCAGCGGCCATGGCTCACGGGCCCAGCCGCTCCGCGGCATGTGGGATCTTCCCGGACTGGGACACGAACCCGTGTCCCCTGCATCGGCAGGCGGACTCTCAACCACTGCACCACCAGGGAAGCCCAGTTCAAATTTTTTATTATAATAAAGGGTTGCCTTAGTGAAGGATCTGAGAAAGTGAAATGAAAAGGAAAAAAAAAGAAAGAGTACAGAAGACCATCAGAAATCCTTACAGGTCCACAAAAGGTCAGCACTCACCAGTTTGGAGAACATGGAGTCACACCATTGGGCCAGCTGTACTCACCGCGTATCCACCTGAGGGCATCATAGCTCTAGATTTCTCCTAGTGTTCAGAAACCGAATGGCATGAATACTAATAAAAACCTATTGGCTGGTTCTATTCCTTTCACAGAAAATATAAGAGAGACCATGCACTTCGTCAGAAAAAGTGGTTCCACATTCCTCCTGAAAATATCTTTCCCCTGGAGTCCAATGAGACCAACCATGTCAGCCTAAAGGTAAGATGCCCCTTACCTGGTGAATGCAAGGGCTGGTGCAACTCGCCAGGGATTTGACAAGACTTTGGTACATGGTATGAAATGTTCCAGGCCAGGATCATTTGTTTCAGAATCCAAGACTTAGATGTTTTCTAACTCTCAGCTTCCTGTCTTTCCCTTGGCTCTTCATTGCACTAGATGTCAGCTACTTGAACCAATGAACACTTCGGTGGAGGCTGAGATATGGTGTGTTACTCATTCTTTCATCTGACCCAGAAGAGAAATGCACAGAGTGAGAATTTTTTATGGAAGGGATATGGAAATGGGTAGAGCATTTGAGCTCCTCTAAACCTCGGGGAGCTACTCTGCTTATACTGAGGACGTGTGACTTACTTGCTCGTTGCTGACAAGAGAGGTCTCTGCTGATATTTGCCCATGTTCTCCCTCAGCCAGGAAATCTCAGCAGCAGCCCCGTGATAACTCCTCCCATCCGCTGAGGTTGATGCGGGACCTAAGTGGTCTTACCTGCTCCCCACAGGGACCTCACGAGATGAACTTTATCATCATAATTTTGCCGATGAGGAAATTGAAGGGCAAAGGGTTGAGAAGCAGGGCAGGGTCACACACAGCTAGGGAGTCAGATTGCTACAAATGGTAACAGCTAACATTTCCTGAGCACTTGTTATGTGCCAGAGGCATTGACCCGTTTCATCGTTCCCGAGCACTTTGAGGCAACAGGGCTAGAAATTCAGGAGCGTGGCCACAACGTGAAGCCAGTCTGTGTAACCGTGAAGACCACGATCCTAACATTCACCGTACAGCCTTATCAGAGGTTTTATACCGAAGCATACTAAGAGGAGATGGAGTTCCAGAACCTCCACGTGAAGGAGTGAGCAGGGTCCCTCAGAGCAGGGCCAAGCCAACAGGACCGTGTGACCTGGGGTGCCTCCCTGCCTAGAATCAGCAAAAGTAAAATTGTTTCATGGGTCAGGTTTGTGCTTGGAGCCTCTCCGCCAGCTCCTGGCATTCCGCCCCAAGTCCTGCACGCTGCACTCTGGTGCCTCAGGTCCCCTCACGGCTGTGCAAGGACTGGGTCTTCCCATCCTCCAGAAGTGCGCCACGCTCGAAAGTGATGCTCCTGTTACATCCTGAACCACAAAAATAAAGGTGCTGTTGGCAAAGGCCAGGGACTTGCCCGGCAGTCCAGTGGTTAGGACTCCGAGGTTCCACTGCAAGGGGCACGGGTTCGAACCTCGGTCAGGGAACTAAGATCCCGCATGCTGTGCAGTGTGGCCAAAAAGTTAACCAACTAACTCACCAAATAAATATTTCTAAAATTAAAAAAAAAAAGACCAATCTGTCTCAGGCAAGTGTCAGGATGAAATCGATCTTGTGGTCATTCACAGTAAAATGTAAACAATCGTCAGATTATTGGATTTTCAAAGAGAGAATTTATTGACCTGAATGACTTACCGGCAGTACCCTGGGAAGGGGAGAGGAGACCTTTAGAAGGAGTGAGTGGTCCCCTGCCTCTGGTGTGACACGAGGATGGGCTCCCACGTGGTTCACCTCTGCCACGTCCAGCCACGGCTCCACTCCTCACAAGCCTCCCCCACTGCCTCAAAACCCCAATATTGCACTTTGTTCTTTGGGGTTGGGCCTAAAACATTGTGTCTCTGCGCGTTTTCTTAAAATATAAATACTCCTAGGAGTATGCCCCATCTACCCCTTGTCAGGCATGACAGAATTTTTATGAGTTAATTCATCAGTTGGCTAAGGAATAGGTCTTGGGGACAGTAACCAAGAAGGAGGAAGGTTAGAAGTGATTCAGAGCATTGGGGAGTCGCTGTCACTCTGAGGAGCAGCCCAGCTAGGGAGCAGGCGGCTTGGAATTGGCCGTATGGAGAGGTCTTCCGTCGGCAAAGTCAGCAAGAGGGGAAAATGCCACACAACCAGACAGGCGGTGGTTCGAGCTCTGGATAAGGAAGCAAGACTAAGGGGCGAGATGATGAAGAAAGCATCCCGGGCTAGAAGAGAGAGGGTCAGAAAACCAAGGCAGCCAGAGGGAGAGAAGTCAGCAAAGCCCCAGGGGAGAGCAACAGACAGGAAAAAATGGTAAAGATGCAGAGGACTCATTTGAGGATAAAACGCCTTTGATTGCAAGAAAATGTCACAAAGTTTGTCTCAGTTGATTCCCAGGTATCCCTGATTTAGGATTGCCCAGATAAGGAAGGGACTGAGGCTCAGATGGATTAAATGACGTATCGAGGCCTGAGAGGGTGAAAAGAATACTAGACAAGAAGTCATGCTTGGGTTCCATGTGTTCTTAGGCCACGTGTGGTATCATGTAACCCTTTTGTACCTCATGTATAAAATGAGAAACAGGAGAAGGGGAGACAAGTGACATTTATTAATCTGCATTGTGCTGGGCATCATGCTTGGAACTGGATATAACTTATTTCACTCACATTTTCAAAATGTCCCTATGAGGTAAGTTTTAACAAATATGATACACAGGTTTTTATGAGAATCAAGTGGAAAGATGCAATAGTTCTCAATCTTTTTTCTGCCTTTAGACTGGCAGACCAAGAGCCATACTAGCCTGCAGGTGCGTGCGTGTGTGTGTGTGTGTTACGTTTCGTTCCATATTTAACTTTTTAAAACATTAATTACCAAATACAAACATCTTGGAATGGCATAGAAAATCTATATTACAAGCTTCTTTTGACAAATCAGATAATCTGGCAACTCCAGGCTGAGCCCAGAGCTGCTGAGGCTGCCCTCTGAAGCCCCAGCACAGCGTCCTCACTGGCGTTGCCACTTGGGCATTTAGGCATGAGTTCGCAACTCAGATGCACAGCGTGCTCCCCTAAGAGCGTCTGTCTGGAGCTACAGGCAATGGCTCCCAGTAGCTGGGGGAGCTGAGAGAGAAAGAAGCAAAGGAAGTCGCTGGCTGAAATAAGCCACAGGAGGAAGGGAGGGAAACCCAGGGTTAAGCTGGCGGATACTTGGAAGGAAGATGCCCTTGGAGGGAGAACGTGAGAATGATGGGGAACACAAGTCAATTATGACAGCTTTTCTGAGCCCGTCCAGAGTGCTGTGAGCAACTACAACAGATACAGCCCCCCCGCAGAGCCTCTCAGCCTTCACGGCGGGGGGTGGGGGGAGACTAGATATGGAGCTTCTGGAATAATCGGCCTTTCCTTGTGCCAGATCGATGACGACAAGAGACGTGATACAATCCAGAGACTACGCCAGTGCAAGTACGACAAAAAGGTGACTCTAGTCTCCTCTGCTCTTCTGAACTCTCAATCAGGGGTATGTGCTGGGCCTTCTGACTCATCGTCGCCCCAGCTCTGATGTTGCCAGTGCGATGGCCGGGGTGCCCGGGCTGACCCCAAGGGCTGTTCCTGGAGCCTTTCACAGGGGTGGGCAGGGCTCTGCTTCAAGGGTTACAACACTCACAAGTCATGAGTATATTGAAGGAAAAATAGAATTTTTGAGAGGGAGGGAGTGAAGGAAGGAAAAGGAAAAATTAAAGAGATTCAGAGCAGTCCAGCCAACCCTGTATATATTTCCGCTCATTGCAGTGGGAATATGACAATCCCATAGGGGGGTTTTGTATCTTCTTTCCCTCCCTCCCTCCCTCCCTCCTCCCTCCCTTCCTTCCTTCCCTCCTTCCTTTTCATTTAGTCATTTTTAAGACACATTCCCATCTGAGCCTACCATATCTCAGGCACTAGTTACCAAGGATATAAACAGCAATAAAAGTGTTACCACTCTCGAGAGCTTACAGTATTGTGGAAAGATAGACACGTGAGCAAATTATTATAACATGCCTATGAGTGGTCATGCTACATTATCTCCTTAATTCAATGGATCTTTGCAGCGAGTGATTCTAAAGGATCTCAAGCACAACGATGGCAATTTCACCGAGAAGCAGAAGATAGAATTGAACAAGGTACGCGTCCCTTCCTTAAAACCTTTAAGTGAGAAATAGCTTCACCCCGTGTTCCCCAAGCGTTGAGGTCCCTGGTGGAGCAAGGTGTTATTGGGGATGCTGACAGAGAAGCCCTCAGACCAAGAAATGGGTGACCATACTCGCTGAAAATTGTACCAAAATATGTTGAAGAGTGATGTTTGATGGTGTAAAACATGTTGGCATGTCCTAGAAGGTGGTCCTGATGTGATTTGAGAGTACTCAAAGGTTTGTATTCAAGTCCCCTTGCCGACAAAAGAAAGGCTGTGGGGTAAGATGTAATTCCAACTGCAGTAGGAAATGAACTGACACTTCATTGTATCAAGAGCAATACATCTTCCCAGAGATCTGAGACACGGCATGTTTTATTAATATATTAGTTTTTACTCAGGCGCTCCTTTCTGGCTGACTTGCTTTGTAAATAAACATGTTTTATCTTAGTTGCTTCAGATTGACTATTACAACCTAACCAAGTTCTACGGCACGGTGAAGCTTGATTCCATGATCTTTGGGGTGATTGAGTACTGCGAGAGAGGATCCCTCCGGGTAAGGAACCAGGATCGTTTCCAATTCCCTAACTAGCCAACCATATGCAAAAAAGAATATTTAGTAGCGATTTTAAAGGCTCACTCAGTGAGATAATATCAGAGAGTTATCAGGAAAAGTGTATGGGCCCATATGCCTGTCAAACTAGATCACTCAGATTTTGTCAATCATCCATATTATATCTTTATAAGAAAACTAGCTAAAAAATATTCAGGAGTGTAGACTTGAGAAAACAAAGAACAGGTGTGGAATAGTGATTGCCTCTTGATTCATTTTATTTTACTGGCGTACTTGCTTTTGTATTAAAAGGAAACTGGATGGTCATTACGATAGCAAGGAGGCTTGTTCATAAGTCCTAGTTCTGCTGTCTAAATCCTACCATTGTCTCCCTTGGGAAGGATTGAGGATGACCCAGGAGTTGCCAGATGGGGTCAGGAATTCTGGCTGAACAAGTCCAAAGCAGAAAAAGAAAGACAGGACTGAGGCAAGTTCTTGGGAAGAACCAACTATCGAGCTAAGAATATCAAATCATTGGCTAGCTCAGAAGGGCAGGCACACACAGAAGCATTCATACAAAAAACAAAGTCAGGTGTCGAGGAAAAGGGGAGGGGCAGGAAGGAAACCAGGACAGTTGCTCCAAAGGGCATCGAAATATTTGCTGCTCACCTTGAGCACTTTCTAGGCATATGTTCCAAGAGCTTTCAGCCTTTTAAATACCTTTGGGTAGGGTGACCATATAATTTCATTCTCAGGATCCTTTGAGAATGAAAGGGGGTACCAAAATAATTATGTGTTAACAGCAGACATAAACTGCAACTGGCCCGAAGCAAACCAGGAATTGTGGTCACCCTACCTATGGGCTCCTTTCCGACCTAGTATCTCTTAAAAACCTCAATGTTTTCCCCAACAAAGCCAGAATACTAATATTGGGGGCAACAGCAGCTTCAAAGAGGTCCAAACATTCATAATTCAATAAAATTTTAAGATAATAAAAAGTGCTGAACTAATAACTTAAATATTTTTGTTCAATAAGCTTCAATTAAAAAAAAAAAAAAACACAAGAGGGAGTTGCCTGACAATCCAGTGGTTAGGACTCCGCAATTCCACTGCAGGCGGCACGAGTTGGATCCTGAACTAGGATCCTGCATGCCGCACGCGGTGTGGCCAAAAGAGAAAAGAAAAAGAATGTAGCTTTAAAAATGTATGTATGGCATAAACTCAAATCTGTCTTCAAAGAAAACAATTATATCCCTAAATGCTATTCTCTCTTAAAATAATCTAAGTATTCAATGCAAAATTTAGAAGAATAACTATGGCCTAAGGGCAGGAAACCTTCACAATTCAATTACTATAAAACTGGTAAATTTTTAAAGTGCGTTCATGAGTTGTTTATTTTTAAAAAAAACTACAAAACATACAAGCTTCTCATACTTCTAATTAAGTCTCTAAAACAAACATAAAAATACACAAAAGTGAAAATTAAATAAAGCTATGAAAAAGATGCTTTCAATTATGAAAGAATGTCATGACTATTAAGTTTAAAAAATCTTAAAAAAAAGGAAAAACTTCAGAAACAATATATTCATGAAAACTTGACTCAAAGTAAAAACTTACGGAAGTCAGTAACAGTAGAAGAAATTAACACTCCCATTACAAAGAAAACCAGACTCAGCTTAATTTTTCTAAACTTCAATGAATAATTCTCATCATCTATGTAAATACTGTTCTAAAGTTAAACAAAAAACATGAACATCCTCTAAATTCATTTAACATTCAACAAGGCTAGCATAAAGTTGATACTTAAATGTGATTAAAGACTAATTACATTTATGAATGTAAATGAAAAATTATAGATAAAGTACTGGTAACTAAGCCAGTTGTATACGAAAAGTGTAATACAACTAGATACGGTTAATTCTACGAATGGAAAAAATATTACTCTAATGCATCATTATCAAAAGGTCTTTGGAGAAAGACCATATGATCATTTTAATTGATGCTGAAAGTGATCGTTTAAATTGCTGCTGATATAATAAAATAAACACATTTCTAATAATAATAATTTCAGGTCTTTCAAAATTCAGTGTTTTCCATACAAAGGCTAGACCATATCTGATTCATTTGATTTCAGTGCAACAGAAATTTCCAATTAACAGAGCCTGCTCAAAGGGTTTCACACCGTCTTTTAATCCCTAAAATGCCCAGCCAACATTTAAATATCATATACGTAGTGATTTTGGCTCTCTACCCTATGGTGGGAAACTTCAATTACCTGAGTGGTCCTGGGCCCCCCATCTGGCATTGCTGACTCATGCTGGGAGCAGACCACACAGAAGCTTCTACAGGAAACTTATCCACTCCTTGGTATCATGAACCTCAAAGCAAAGGCTGTGCCTTTGCAAACTACATTCCCCTCCCTGATGTGATTCCTTTTAGGCTTCAACCCATGGCAAATCCCATCAGAAGACTACTTTTATGGGGAAACAAATGAGAAAGTCTCTCCCTAGACAGAGTAAAAACAATATACTTCCCATCTTATAAATATACAGCAACCGGGACTTCCCTGGTGGCACAGTGGCTAAGAATCCACCTGCCAATGCAGGGCACATGGGTTCGATCCCTGGTCCGGGAAGATCGCACATGCCGCGGAGCAACTAAGCCCGTGCGCCACAACTACTGAGCCTGCGCTCTAGAGCCCGCAAGCCACAACTACTGAGCCCGCGCGCCACAACTACCGAAGCCCGCGCGCCCAGAGCCTGCGCACCGCAGCAAGAGAAGCCACCGCAATGAGAAGCGCACGCACCACGATGAAGAGTTCGCCGCAACTAGAGAGAGCCCACACGTGGCAACGAAGACCCAACGCAGCCCAAAGATTAATTAATTAAAAAAATATATACAGCAACCTTGGCTAACCTTGTTTAGGAACAGTTGATTCATTCATGCAGTAAACATTATCGAACATCTGTTCTGTGCCAGACACTTACTAGATGTTGCAGATACACCAGTAAATGAAGATTATCACAGAATTGACATTTTCGTAAGGAGAAGAGATAGTAAACAAATAAAAACGTAAAAAATGTCAGTGCTCAAGGAAAGAGTTACTTAGGGTCTGTCTGCTCAGAACTCCTCTCCCTTAACTTGGCCTGCTATCCACAGCCCCTTATCTGAAATGACTGATGGCTTTGGACCCTCTGTTGGAAACTATTGGTACAGTACCTGAGTTAAAACTGAGCTATTTCCCCAAACAAGAAACTATTGTTAGGTTCTCAGTTAGGGTGCTGTTTAGAGTTTTACTGTGAAGAATAGTTTTCAGCTTAGTTAAAACCCTGTATCTTGATAGAACCATCATCACGTTAATACTGTGAGTTCAAAATTCTAGGTCCTACAGTTCCCGTGAAAGTCCAAGCGCTCTGTCTTAACAACAGAGGACTTAGTAAACAGAAGAAACACTTAGAGGTATTAAGCCAATGGATACAGTTGATCATGTAAGTGAAAACATAGCCTAATGAAGGAATATCCTAATAGCAATTCCTTGTTGAAAAACACTAGGGTAATTTTGCTGAGACAGAGCCTGTATCTCAGCCCACCACCCAACTCTCCTGGCAGGTGCCTGCTCATGCCTTTACTCCTGGTGGAAGAAGCGGTATATTGGATCTATGGTCATCTCCTGCTCATCTCCTTGGGATAAGAACCACCTAATGTTTCTTAAATCAGAGAGAAAAGAAACACATGTTCAGGAAAACCAGGACAATGGAGTTCCAACTTGCTCCTGAGCCCAAGGCCTCATGATCAGAAAGTCATTATTTGCCTGTAAGAGTCTTTCCACAATAGCCTCCTTCAGACAACTCATCTTCTTCTTTTTCTCCTGCTCAGGAAGTTTTAAATGACACAATTTCCTATCCTGATGGTACATTCATGGATTGGGAGTTTAAGATCTCTGTCCTGTATGACATTGCTAAGGTAAGAGACCCACAAACACAAAAGACATTTATGAAAGTTAAATCTGGGAAAACAGATCTAGCAAGCTATTGCATTGGTCTCTTCATCTGTAAAATGATAATAAAAATAGTACCTATGTCATAGGGTTGTCGTGAGGATTTTATGAAACAATGCATGTGCTCTGAATAAGACCTGACAAGCAGGTATTCAATATATGTTGGCCATTATTATTTTTATTATTAAATTCTTTCTACACTGGGCTTGGGGCACACATTTTCACAGATTTTCTGGAAGTAAAAAAATCACGTAAGGTCTCAGAGAAGATGACTGAATCCTCATCTTCATAAGAGAAAATATTAAGGGCAGGCATTCGTCTTGCATGAGGCAATAATAAATCTGGACATGTATATTTCCCAGATGTGCTATGAAAAGGAAGTGGATACCAGTAACTAGGGCCCCATTCAAGAATGAAGAAAAGCGAGTCCCGAGAGTAAGCTATGTGATACAGTCTTAAATCACTTGAAAGTCACATAGGATCAGAATCAGTTGGAAAAAATGTGACACAATACCTTATTTGGTACATTTCATCCCTGGGATCAAGGCCGAACACCAGTTTCTGCAATACCACCTCTGGCCACCAGGGGGAAGCACATCAGCTCAAAAAGGGCTTCCTCTTTCAAAGCAGAATGAAACATTCTATTTCAAAATAGAATGAAACCGTTTAGACTTTAGGAAATAGAATCTAGCCTCACCCCTCCCTTCAGGAAGGCAAGGCCTTATTCATATTTTTTCATTGAGGTAGCAGAGGACTAGAGACATACTCAAAGTCACAGAATAAGTGGTAAGCAGAAACGCTTTAAAAAAATAGGATCAGCCTTTGCTTCATATTATATACAACTACTAAACAGAGTCTTTAGACAATTGCCTTTTACTGTGTCACCTAAATAGACTCCAAAACTAGATGCAGTGCTTAGGCAAATATTGGGGCTTTAACAACATTTTGAAAGTTAAACTTAATGGAATTAAATTTAAAAGTTGATGGTGATTCTATCTGCATGCCAAAATAATTTCAAAACGTCATTTCTTTCCTTAAAATAATGGAGCTGCTGAAAAGTGTCATATCTCTTTGTTTTCCTGTTATCTGAAAAACTACAGGGGATGTCATATCTGCATTCCAGTAAGACAGAAGTCCACGGCCGTCTGAAATCCACCAACTGCGTGGTGGATAGTAGGATGGTGGTGAAGATAACTGACTTTGGCTGCAATTCCATTTTACCTCCAAGAAAAGGTCTGTCATGAATGAAATTTTTACTAGTTTCCCACTTAAAAAAATTTTTTTTTCTCACAAGTCCATTTAAGGTGCTCAGGAAATGGTGATACTGATCAGAAAATAAACACTTGGAGTTGTAAGAGGCATCAGCTGGGTCATTTTCCAGCACTACCCCCTTCTCAGTGTTCAGTGCATGCTTGTCGAGTTGAACAAATCTCCTCTGTGGATTTCCTTCATCTGTGTGTCCCTTGATATCAGGGAGAAGTCATAAAGAAGTTATTGGCTTGTGGAAGCAGGACTGCGTGAAAAAATACAGAAGTTAGAGCAGTAAGAGATCTTAGAAATCGTCTGATCGAACCCTCTTCATTTGTAGAAGACAGAATTGAAGCTCAGAGAGGCTAAGAGGTTTGCCCAAGAAGATAGAGTACAAGGCTGAGGACCCGTTTCCCAATTCTAGACTTCATTCATTTATCTGTGATAATGATAAGAAATGATGATGATAAGAAAAAAGTCTCATCAGTAAAACATATTCATACTTATCCCTTTCAGGATTGTGATGAGGGTCAAAAAAGTAACACACAAAAAAGTGATTTGTAAAGTATAAAGGGCTTTTCATGTTGAACATTCACCTGTTCTTTACTAGAATTCTGGGTTAAACAGCCTCAGAAGGCTAGGACTCATATATGCCTCAAAATACTACCTGGATCCAAAAACTAAATTCTGCCTCTAATTCTACTTTGGAATCCTCTAGTTTTCCCTTAATGGAGGAAAGATTAGAGTTCTGCCCCCCACTTCTTCAGTCATGTCAAGGATGCTAGGACATTGGACTCAATCTAGTAAGTGCTTGTTGAGGACCTACTGTGTGCCAAGCAGTGCTCATCACGGAGTGAGCAAATCTCTTTCATGAAATGACTCACCTTCATGAAATGACTCACCTTGACACAGCATCAGATGAACTGCAGGCCAAATCCTATCCTTCTGGACGTCATCCAGTTATACCTACCTATCTGTGGGGTCGGTTATCGGAAATTTTAGCATAAGTAGATTTAGTTCCCTTCCCACAAGTTTAATCATTAGGATCAGTCGTTCATGAATCACAAGCCACATGAATTCACAAGACACAAATTCAAAAAGGCAGTGAACAGTTGGATGGAAAACTAAATGAGGAAAGTGTGCTTCATCTTAAGCATATCACCGTACTGAAAACACATGAATCTGTAGGTTTATTTAATTGAAAATGCTGAAGGTAGAAATCTCAAAAAGTCTGCAAGGAGCTAGGTGATCCTGGAAAACCTCCAAGGGATGTTGGAGGATAATTAATTGTACGCCCTCATTATTATACATAAGATATGTGATAGCGGTCCAAAACCCAAGTGTCTATAGGAGCCAAACACAGGACACAGGAGTGCTTCACTCGTGTGAAGTAGACTTGATGGAAAGCACTAGGAATAGCAGGCACACTAGTAAAACGTGAGTAAAGTGTGTGCATTCTTTTTTTAAATAATACTGTGAGCACCAAAGAAAACACATCTGTGGATAATAGCTGACTTCGTGACTGCTGGTATGTCACACGCAGAAAATATCAGTGATGGTCTCTTTGTTCAAATGTTCTGTCTTTATTTTCTTTTAGGAAACATCAATATATGTATTTATAATGTTTTATATTACATAAAATATATAAATATATAGTTTTAAAATATTTATAGAGGCTTTCATAGGTTTTTGCCATATGTTCCGTAAGCTATTAAATCCTCAGCCTCTTACATTCTACTGCCTTCACCCCACAAATATTTACTGAGCGCTTCCTATACCCCAGGTTCTGGTCTAGGTAGACCTTGAGGGTTTTCAGAACTGTGATCCAGGCAGTTTTAGGGAAGGCGTTGCCATATCTCCTCACCCAAATCCTGGCATTACCTAGTCAGCTTGGAAGGCAAGTGTGTGTTCTGCCCCATCACCAGCATCAGTATGGTAGAGGGACTTAAAAATAAAAGCAAGTTGGGGACCTCTGGGCCGCTCACCCCTGCCTCAACCTCGCGATCTCAATGCTGAACGCACAGACCTGTGGACTGCCCCGGAACACCTGCGCCAAGCCAACATCTCGCAGAAAGGAGACGTGTACAGCTATGGGATCATCGCCCAGGAGATCATCCTGCGGAGAGAAACCTTCTACACGCTCAGCTGTCGGGACCAGAAGGGTGAGAGTCTGACCCTTCGGGGGCCTTCCCTGGGACCCAGCAGGAATTCTAGGCTGACTGAGACCCCGAGGTTTCTGTGACCACATCTCAGTCCCTCATCTGCGAAAACAATATCACATCTACCCTCCACACTCCACAGGGTAGTTGGAGGAATTCAGGGACAGTACGAACGTTAGAGAGCTCTGAAAAGCATAGGCCAATATACCACTGCCAGCTGCCACTACCGCAATTTTGTGAGTTAGAGAATCTCGCCTTACAATTTCTTGCTTTCCTTCTGATTCCAGTAAGAGACGTGTGTCTGCTTCACACCTGAACTAGATCACTCTAGCGGGACAACACATATTTTAGTTCTTACTAAGAGCAGATCTATGGTTTTGTCACATGTCCTCTCAGGGAGGAAACGTCTCCTTCCGTTCATCCAGTCCTCGCTTTACTGAGCACTTATTACGTGCCAGCTCTTACCTGTCTGGGGGATGGAGGTGGCTAAGGGATATAGGGAGGACAGGCTAGGGTCTTGGTCAGAGGAAGCCTCCCTAAGACAGTGGTCTCTGAGTTAAGTTTTAAAGGGTTAGTAGCCTTAACTTAAGGTAATCTCCTGGGTGTAAGGGGGCATGAGACCCCTTCACCTGGTGGATCATCCATTCATTCACATCTGTCTGTCAAGTGCTGGCCTAGGCTCTGCCACGCTCCCACTGGGTACCCACCCAGGCACGGTGAACCAATTCAGAGCCTGGAGGCTGCTGCTAAAATTCCTTCACGCTGCATTCTTTCTTGTAATTTGAATTCTTCCTACCCCACCAGAGAAGATTTTCAGAGTGGAGTATTCCGACGGAGTGAAACCCTTCCGCCCTGATCTGTTCCTGGAAACAGCAGAGGAAAAAGAGCTGGAAGTGAGTATATCTCCCTGCATGGAGTTTTCCTGGGCCTCTGCAAGAGGACCACAGACTTGGTGGATTAACACAACAGAAATGTATACGCTTACAGTTCTGGAGGCCAGAAGTGTGAAATGAGTTGCCAGAAGGTCATGCTTCTTCCAGAGGCTCTAGGGGAGAATCCATTCCTTGCTCCTTCCAGGAGCTTCTGGTGGCTACTGACATTCCTTGGCTTGTGGCCACAATGCTCTAATCTCTGCTTCCAGGCCACATTCTCCTCTTCTGTCTGTCTAATCTCCCTCTCCTTCCCTCCTATAGAAGGATACATGTGATTACCCTCAGGCCCATCAAGATAATCCAGATTATCTCCCCATGCAAGACCCTTCACTTAATCATATCTGCAAAGACCCTTTTTCCAAATAAGGTAACTGGTTCCAGGGGTTGGGACACACCCTTGAGAGCCGCTCTCAGCCTACCATACTCCCAACTCAGGAAGGAGCTCAAGTACACATTACATTCTCGATTTTTAGGAGCTAAAAGAGCAAGATTCCATGTGATACCCATATTAAGCTTATAAATACTACCTCCTGGTTAAAAAATAAATACGCCAACATCTAGAAACAATAGAGAAATGTACTTTCACTATTTCTATCCTTCCCCTGAAGAAAATGGAGATTTCCTCTGTATCTGCTTAATTTTTTTGTAATCCCTCACAGAGGCCTTTAAGGGCTGTGGGAAAAAAAATTCTAATTTTTTTTTTAGAGTTTTATCTGAGCTTTTATAATCCAGAAGATGGTAAGTAAATGTTTAAAAAATATTTATGGTCGGGGGGCTTCCCTGGTGGTGCAGTGGTTGAGAGTCCGCCTGCCGATGCAGGGGACACGGGTTCATGCCCCAGTCCGGGAAGATCCCACATGCCGTGGAGCAGCTGTGCCCGTGAGCCATGGCCGCTGAGCCTGCGCGTCCGGAGCCTGTACTCCGCAACGGGAGAGGCCACAGCAGTGAGAGGCCCACGTACCGCCAAAAAAAAAAATATTATAAGTTAAACATATATTTATTTCAGTGTTA